TGAAATAACCTGCAGGTGGATATTAAAAGCAACTGATAAAATGGGATAACAGAGGATTACTTGCCCAAGTGGTGCACTCAGAGAATATGTTATAAGCCACGTTTCTTATTTTTCTTGGCCTGATTAATTGCATTGTGACATCAATAGCAACGTGTGCCAAACCCTGCCTTGCTTTAAAAGCTTCAAAACAACACACCCTTGACAACATTTCCTTTTAGGAAAGCTTGTTGGGTCTAAATGGGATTCCTTCCTGGTTGAGTCAAAAACACACTATACATCTGTCGAAAAGAAAGGGCAAATCTAAGGGAGTGAAGACGTGAAAGCAGAACAAACTGGATAAAGCCAAAACTAACATCTCCACCTATATTTTCTGACCAGAAAAAAACCAGACAAGATAGGGGAGATATGTGTGTGTGTGTGTGTGTGTGTGTGTGTGTGTGTGTCCTCTCTTGCATCCTATACATTAAATCCCCCATTATATCTCTATTTAAGATACTAAATGCTGGAAGATCTATGAAATTCTTGCAAGCTTGCAATGTTTTTCTGGGATGTAATACTGGCATTGTAGATTTAATGCAGTTTAGCACCACTTTAACTATCATGGAATCCTGGCAGTTGTAGTTTAGCAAGGTCTTTCACCTTCTCTGCCAAAAAGAGCTGGTGCCTCACCAAACTACAACTCCCAGGGTTCAATTGCAGGAAAAGTGGTATCAAACGGAATTAGTTCTACAGTGTAGATGCAGTCAGACAAGGATGTTGTTGTTGTTCATTCGTTCAGTCGTCTCCGACTCTTCGTGACCTCATGGACCAGCCCACGCCAGAGCTCCCTGTCGGCCGTTACCACCCCCAGCTCCTTCAAGGTCAGTCCAGTCACTTCAAGGATGCCATCCATCCATCTTGCCCTTGGTTGGCCCCTCTTCCTGTTGCCTTCCACTTTCCCCAGCATAATTGTCTTCTCTAGGCTTTCCTGTCTCCTCATGATGTGGCCAAAGTACTTCAACTTTGTCTCTAGTATCTTTCCCTCCAGTGAGCAGTCAGGCTTTATTTCCTGGAGGATGGACTGGTTGGATCTTCTCGCAGTCCAAGGCACTCTCAGAACTTTCCTCCAGCACCACAGCTCAAAAGCATCGATCTTCCTTCGCTCAGCCTTCCCTAAGGTCCAGCTCTCACATCCGTAGGTTACTACAGGGAATACCATGGCTTTGACTAGGCGGATCTTTGTTGCCAGTCTGATGTCTCTACTCTTCACTATTTTATCGAGACTGGACATTGCTCTCCTCCCAAGAAGTAAGCGTTTTCTGATTTCCTGGCCACAGTCTGCATCTGCAGTAATCTTTGCACCTAGAAATACAAAGTCTGTCACGGCCTCCAAGGTTTCTCCCTCTATTTTCCAGTTGTCAATCATTCTTGTTGCCATAATCTTGGTTTTTTTGATGTTTAGCTGCAACCCGGCTTTTGCGCTTTCTTCTTTCACCTTGATTAGAAGGCTCATCAGCTCCTCCTCGCTTTCGGCCATCAGAGTGGTGTCATCTGCATATCTGAGGTTGTTAATGTTTCTTCCAGCAATTTTCACCCCAGCTTTGCATTCATCAAGCCCCGCACATCGCATGATGTGTTCTGCATACAAGTTAAAAAGGTTGGGTGAGAGGATGCAGCCTTGCCGTACGCCTTTCCCAATCTTGAACCAGTCTGTTGTTCCGTGGTCAGTTTTGACTGTTGCTACTTGGTCCTTGTACAGATTCCTCAGGAGAGAGACAAGGTGGCTTGGGATGCCCATCCCACCAAGAACTTGCCACAATTTATCATGATCCACACAGTCAAAGGCTTTAGAATAGTCAATGAAGCAGAAGTAGATGTTTTTCTGAAACTCCCTGCCTTTCTCCATTATCCAGCGGATATTGGCAAGAATAGCATATATGAATAAAAATAATTCAAAAAATTGTTGGAGAGGGTGTCAAGAGCCAGGAACATATATACATATGTGGTGGCAATGTAAATATGTAAATAATTTAACATAAATTTGAAAATAAAAATTATATAAAAAAATAAAAACAAACCTAAGTACTCATTCCAAACAAACAAATAAACAAGCATATATTGGCAATCTGGTCTCTCGTTCCTCTGCCTTTTCTGAACCCAGCTTGAACATCTGGCAACTCTCGCTCCATGTATTGCTGGATTCTTCCTTGAAGGATCTTGAGCATTACCTTACTGGCATGAGAAATAAGGGCCACTGTACGGAAGTTGGAGCAGTCTTTCGCATTTCCCTTTTTTGGTATGGGGATATAAGTTGATTTTTTCCAGTCTGATGGCCATTCTTCCAAGTCAACCCAGAATCACCTTGACAGCATCATATTTTAAGATTTTAAACAGTTCAGCTGGGATCCCGTCGTCTCCTGCTGCCTTGTTGTTAGCAATGCTTCTTAAGGCCCATTCAACCTCACTCCTCAGGATGTCTGGTTCTAATTCATTCACCACACCGTCAAAACTATCCTCAATATTATTATCCTTCCTGTACAGATCTTCTGTATAGTCTCGCCACCTTCTCTTGATCTCTTCAGCTTCTGTTAGGTCCCTGCCATCTTTGTTTCTTATCATACCAAATTTTGCCTGAAATTTACCTCCAATGTTTCTAATTTTCTGGAAGAGGTCTCTTGTCCTTCCTATTCTGTTGTCTTCTTCCACTTCCATGCATTGCTTGTTTAGAAATAGTTCTTCTGGCTAACCTCTGGAATTGCGTATTTAACTGGGCATATCTCCCCTTATCACTGTTTCCTTTTGCTTTCCTCCTTTCTTGGGCTACTTCCAGTGTCTCAGCAGACAACCATTTTGCCTTCTTGGTTTTCTTTTTCTTTGGAACGTACTTTGTTGCCACCTCCTGAACAATGTCGCGGACTTCTGTCCATAGTTCTTCTGGGACTCTGTTTACTAAATCTAGTCCTTCAAATCTGTTCTTCACTTCCACTGTATATTCGCTAGGAATGTTAGTGAGCTCATATCTAACTGGTCTGTGTATTTTCCCTGATCTCTTTAGTTTTATTCTAAATTGAGCAATAAGAAGTTCGTGATCTGAGCTACAGTCAGCCCCAGGTCTTGTTTTCACCGACTGGATGGATGTCCGCCACCTTTGGCTGCAAAGGATGCAGTCAATCTGATTTCGGTGTTGACCATCTGGTGAGGTCCATGTATAAAGCCGTCTTTTAGGTTGTTGGAAGAGAGTATTCGTTATACACAGCGAGTTTTCCTGGCAAAATTCTATCAGCCTGCGTCCCGCTTCATTTTGTTCTCCCAGACCATGCTTGCCTGTGATCCCTGTTGTCATTTGACTTCCCACCTTGGCATTCCAGTCTCCTGTAATGAAAATAATGTCTCTTTTTGGTGTATTATCCAGTAGGTTCTGCAGATCCTCATAGAACTGATCTACTTCTGCTTCTTCAGCAGCTGTGGTTGGGGCGTATATTTGGATCACTGTAATGTTGAAAGGCTTTCCTTGCACTCGAATTGAGATCATTCTGTCATTTTTTGGGTTGTATCCAAGCACCGCTTTAGCGAATTTCTTATTAATTATGAAGGCTACTCCATTTCTTCGATGTTTCTCTTGTTCGCAGTAGTAGATCTGGTGGTCATCTGATGTGAAGTGGCCCATTCCAGTCCATTTCAGTTCGCTGACCCCCAGAATGTCTATCTTTAGTCTTGACATCTCACCAATAACAACATCCAATTTGCCCTGGCTCATAGATCTTACATTCCAGGTTCCTATGGTGTGTTGATCTTTAGAGCATCGGATTCGTCGTTCACCTCCAGTACCGTCGGCCGCTAGCCTTCCTTTCGGCTTTGAGTTAGCTGCGTCATCACATCTGGGGCTAGTTGAACTTATCCTCTGCTCCTCCCCAGTAGCATTTTGGCCATCTTCCGACCTGGGAGTCCCATCTTCCAATGGCATACCGACATATCTCTGGTTGTACTGGTCCATTTAGTTTTCTTGGCAAGGATACTGGAGTGGTTTGCCATTGCCTTCCCCAGGGATCACGCTTGATCTGACCTCTCTGCCACAACCGTCCCGTCTTGGGTGGCCCTTCACGGTTTCGCTCATGACATCATTGAGGTGCTCAAGCTCCAGCGCCCCGACAAGGCGGTGATCCTTTGCTGGAGCAGACAAGGATAAGGGGGCCATAATGTAATGTAGGGTTCTGCATTATGAATCCATTCTGGGTTTTAGTCTGAACTTTAAAAGAGATCCACAAGTTGCTGTGACTTGAACAGCAAATTTGGAGGGCTATTTTGTCACATGTATCCCTATGCATTGCACTGGGAATAATAATAATAATAATAATAATAATAATAATAATAATAATAATAATAGAAACACAACAAGATTAGTGTTTAGGACTGTGTGGTGTATCATTGAATAATGTGTGCAGATAATGTGAATAATGTGTGCAGATGAGTCAGATAATATATTATTATTAAGTATTAATTAGCATTACTATTACCAATAATAATAATAATAATAATAATAATAATAATAATAATAACTATTATAAAAATAATACCCAACTTTGAGCCTCAGACAGAAGCAGATAAATTATTATTATTATTATTATTATTATTATTATTATTATTATTATTTGAAACACAACAAGATGAGTCCACAGCAGACACTCTGCTGGCTGTTGAATTGGATCACACGTCGGACACCTCCTAAGTGTCTAGGACTGTGTGATGTATTGGCGAATAATGCACGCAGATCCCAGTAAGATGGCCTTTTTCAGGTGACAGGTGGTAATTTTGTCAGCGCCGATTGTGTTTAAGTGCAGGCCAAGGTCTTTAGGCACTGCACCCACTAGGACTACCTTGACTGGCTTGTGCCAGAGTCTTTGCAGTTCTATCTTTAAATTCTTGTATTGTGTCAGCTATTATTATTATTATTATTATTATTATTATTATTATTATTATTATTATATCCTGCAAGACAAATAAAAAGAACAGAGCACCAAACACCATGTTTTTCTCAATGTATTCATGTTGGGACGCAGACCAAAGCAGGGACAATTTGGAGAAAGGAAAATAATTAATTTTTTTTCTTCAAGGAAAAGTCTTCATGCTTCTTCTCTGGTCTCCACTTTCCCTTTAAGCAGGTGCTTCTTTTGTGGGCCCTGAAAAATGAGAAGAAGAAAGGCATCAGCAAAGGAATTTCCAACCTCTTGTGGTGCATCTACACTACTGAATTAATGCACATTGGTACCACTTTAACTCGGAACTCAATGCTATAGGAACCAGTAATCCTTGGCACAGCTGGCTCAAAAGAGCAACTCATGATTCCAACGTATTGAGCCACAAAGTGGTGTCAAACTGCATTCATTCCATGGTGTAGATGTGCTCTGCTAAGGCTATTAACTGGAAAGAGTCTTCTGCAAACTGACCATGAACGCCCGCTTCTCTTGGGCCGTTTGGAAGTGACCGTAGCCAAATTTGGAAGTGGTATCAATGAATTTCAGCTCGATGGGCTCCAAAGCCTTCCGGCTTGTGTGCACCAGAAGAGACTAGAGAAAAATAAAATAAAAATAAAATGGTGATAGACTAGATTAGAAGAAAATGAAGCAAAGGGAAGCATACATGTGGGTGAATTGTATTGTTCAACCGGGTAACAATGGAGCAAAGGATGCAGTGGGGAAAGGCAACATGAAACAGGTAAAGTGGCAGCACAGGAATACTTGGCTACTCTAAATGGATTCAAGTCTCCAGGGCCAGATGAACGACATTCAAGAATATTAAAAGAGCTGGCAGAAGGAATTACAGAACCATTGGCAACCACTTTTGAGAATTCGTGGAGAACAGGAGAAGACTGGAGAAGGGTAAATATGTTGCTTGAGGATGTAATGAAGTTTTCTACTCTGGAAGTTTCCAAGAAGAGGCTAGGTGGCCATCTGTCAGGAAGACTTTGGGTTCCTGACAGATGGCCACGGTTGGACTAGATGGCCTTTGGGGGTCCCTTCAACCTTGCATTGTCCAAACAATGCTTTTGGAAGCGGACTCACCTTCCGTAGGGTCAGCACCCGCTTCTTGGTGCCCACCACGCAGCCCTTCACCATGACAAAATCGTTGTTGACCTCGCCGTAATGTGGGAATCCCCCCTGTGGGAAGAAAGGAGGTTGGACTAGATGACCCTTGCTGTTGTTGTTGTTCATTCGTTCAGTCGTCTCCGACTCTTCGTGACCTCATGGACCAGCCTACGCCAGAGCTCCCTGTCGGCCGTTACCACCCCCAGCTCCCTCAAGGTCAGTCCAGTCACTTCAAGGATGCCATCCATCCATCTTGCCCTTGGTCGGCCCCTCTTCCTTTTACCTTCCACTTTCCCCAGCATCATTGTCTTCTCTAGGCTTTCCTGTCTCCTCATGATGTGGCCAAAGTACTTCAACTTTGTCTCTAGTATCCTTCCCTCCAGTGAGCAGTCGGGCTTTATTTCCTGGAGGATGGACTGGTTGGATCTTCTCGCAGTCCAAGGCACTCTCAGAACTTTCCTCCAACACCACAGCTTCAAAAGCATCGATCTTCCTTCGCTCAGCCTTCCCTAAGGTCCAGCTCTCACATCCGTAGGTGACTACAGGGAATACCATGGCTTTGACTAGGCAGATCTTTGTTGCCAGTCTGATGTCTCTACTCTTCACTATTTTATCGAGACTGGACATTGCTCTCCTCCCAAGAAGTAAGCGTCTTCTGATTTCCTGGCTACAGTCTGCTCGCTCCATGTATAAAGATGACCCTTGTGGTCCTTTCCAAATCTATGACTTCAAGAAAGCTACAGCACCATTGAACCACCCAGAGCAGGACTTGCAATGTAATCCTAAACCATATAATGATAATGTTTTGATACCCGTTTCAAGCCATCACAGCTCCACTCTTGATTCCTGGGATTTGCAGTCTACTCTGCTAGAGAGCTCCAGAGCTGCAGTTCAGGGAAGAACCTTTTACGTTTCAAGTACAGCCCAAATTACAAATCCCATAATTCTATATGATGGAGCCCTGGCATTTAATTTAAAATACAGCCCAAACTACAAATCCCATCATTCTATATGATGGAGCAGTAGGACTGAATTTGAACTACAAGCCAAACTACAAATCCCATCATCTTATATGATGGAGCCATAACATTTAATTTCAAGTACAGCTCAAACTACCAATCCCATCATTCTCTATGATAGAACTATGGCGTTTAATTTCAAATACAGCCCAAACTACAAATCCCATCATTCTATATGATGGAACCATGGCGTGTAATTTTGAGCACAGCACAAACTACAAGTCCCATCTTTCTATATAATGGAATGGTGGCATTTAATTTCAAGTTCAACCCAAACTACAAATACCATCATTCTATATGATGGTGCAATGGCATTTAATTTTAAGTACAGCTCAAACTATCGATCCCATCATTCCGTATGATGAAAGTATGGAGTTTAATTTAAAGTACAGCCCAAACTACAAATCCCATCATTCTATATGATGGAACCATGGGGTTTAACTTCAAGTACAGTCCAAATTACAAATCCCATCATTTTATATGATGGATCCGTGGCACTGAATTTCAGGTTTAAAGCAAATTACAAATCTCATCATTCTATATGATGTAGCCATGGCGTTTAATTTCAAGTATAGCTCAAACTATAAATAGTTCATTTCAGTAATGTTTCTTATTGTCCACAGTTTTGCATTTGCACCAAAAGTCCAAGAACACATGGAGGTTGTACCATAATAACATATCAATGAGAAGTGCAGGAATATGAGAGGTTTTCAAAGATAAAAGTACAATGCAAGGGTGCCCTCTAGTGGCGCTTTGCCTTCATAGGCCACACTGATCTTTCTCAGGCCTTCCCCATATACACTGACTATATAATCCAGTTTCTAAATGCAGATTAACTGCTTTGATTATATGGCGGTGTAGGTTTATGGAATCTAGTTTAAGATTATCTGCTTTGGATTATATGTCAGTGTAGATCCAGCCTCAGCCACTTCCATTTGGACTTCCATTTTCCAAGACCATAGTCCGTGAATGGTCCATTTGGACCAGTCTGGCTGTCAACTGGCTAAAGCTTTGGAAAACTACAACTCCCAGGATTCAAGTGGGGGTCCAATGTGCATCAATTCTATAGTTGGTGCATTTTACGATCCCAAAAATTCCATCTCATTTCCTAGGTTTTTTTTAAAGGTAAGGGTCACACTCTCTCAGCCTCAAAAACCCAAATCCTGAATGCCTTACCAAGGGAGTGATGGTCTTCTCGGTTGTGTCGTAATTGGTGGAGCCATTGTTCCTCACCATCTTGCCGTCTTCGACATGGACCCCGCGGCCGATGCGGTAAATCTAGGGGGAACAGATTTGTTTTGGATGGCAATGGGTGCATCTACACTTGAAAGAACCTATACAGTTTGACACTCCTTTGTGCTCTGTGGCGCATGCTGGGAGTTTGTAGTTTTGCAAACTGCATTCATTCTGCAGCATAGATGAATCCTTAGAAAATGTTGCAAGCTGCAAAAATTAGGATGCTGTAAGATGGAGCCAAAGCAATGGCCTCTCCTTCTCTCCCTCCTTCCTGGTGACTTACTTTCTACCACTGTGCTACGGAGAGTGTCCTAACCTACTGCATCTGCGCATAGCTTAGTAACTGCACACTGGCAGATAGGAAGGTGCTCCAAAGGGTCACCACTTCTGCACAGAGAATCATTGGTTGCCTTCTTTCTCCCCTTTTTGGAAGACCTTTATAAGTCCTGTATCCTTAAGAAAGGTCATAACATTCTTAAGGACCCATCTCACCCAGGTTGTCATAGGTTTTTCGGGCTGTATGGCCATGTTCTAGGTGCATTCTCTCCTGACATTACGCCTGCATCTATGGCAAGCATCTGAGGCATATGAAGGTGCCTGCCATAGATGCAGGCGAAACCTCAGGAGAGAATGCTTCTAGAGGCAAAACATCAGGAGAGAATGCTTCTAGAACATGGCCATACAATTGGAAAAACCTACAACATCCCAGTGATTCCGGTCATGAAAACCGTTGACAATAAATTTATTATTACCATCTGGCAGATGGTACAGGGTGACAAAGACAAGAACAAACAAACCGAGAGATAGCTTTTATTCTAGAGCTGTAACTATACTAAACTCTATGGTTTCGCTGTGATGTGGCATTGGGGTTGCGCAGCGGTGGTGGGAGTGTGAAGGGATGGGTGTGTTGTTTTGTGGTGTGTGCTAGGGAATGCATTCGATTTTGTTGTGCAATGGTACAATGACAATAAAGCTATTCTAGTCTATTCTAGTCTGTACATGATCCTACACAATCTGCCTTGCCTTCTTGTTGAGTTCGGTCCGATGGTGGTAGCCCTTCTGTCCAGCCCGGGCAATGGAGTAGCCCACGCGGGCCGGGTGCCAGGCCCCGATGCAGGCGACTTTGCGCAGCCCTTTGTGGGTCTTCCTGGGGAGCTTCTTGGTGTGCCAGCGACTCGTCACTCCTGCAAAGGAAGGAAAGAAGGAACGGGCACCCATTAAGGAGACTGCGGGTTATCTTCACTGTCAAATGAAGGCACTCTGGCACCGATTTAATTGCCATGGCTCAATACAGTGGTAGCCTGACAGGCAGGTGCATGATTTAAAATTTTCTCCTTCCTTTATCATGCCCTCCCTTCACTGCACACTAGACCAATTTCTCAGGGCAAGCTATGAATCAACCCAAACATTGCAGAGTCTTTTATCAGAAGCCAGCAGAGTTTTCCTGCACAGCCTCTGACAGTGTGCCGCTTACTGTTTTAAGAAAACACTTTGACTCTGGTTTTCCTCCAAACTCACAGTGGAGGCTTTAATCTTGCCATGCTGCTTAATGTACACATCAGGATCCCTTGATTTCCTAACTCATGACAGATATCAGCAACAGATGTACGAGAAGCAAGAATTGTTGCAGAGCATCATGGCAAGAAAGAGTGCACATGCTTGCTACCTACTTTTATACCCATTGCTCCTCACCATCAAACAGGGAGAAAAGGAAATGATTCAGTTCTCATCGTGCCTGTCACATGATCATGACTCAGCTTCTGTAACCTGTCCATCAAGTTTAATATCACCACCTGCTTAACCCTTCAGTGGATGTCTGACCACATGTCCATTGGAATTGTATTTTCCAACTAGTAATGCACAATGGGGTTACAGACAATGCATTCCCATCTAACAGTGCATTATCTACCTAACAGGTCTTTAGCCTTCTCTGCCAAAGAGTGCCAAACTATAACTGCCAGGATTCCATAGCACCGAGCCAAACTGTGTTCATTCCCTGGTGTAGATGCACTCATCACCAGCCCCCTTTCCCACCTTTCATGCCGTGGCCCTTGGTGACGCCGATCACATCAATCATCTCATTCTGGCTGAAGACCGACTGTACGGAGATATGCTTCTCCATCTTTTCGTGGGCCCAGTCTACCTTCTCGGCCACTGTTCCCCCGTTCAGTTGGATCTCCATGATGTGCGCTTTCTTCTGGCGCATCGGGAGCAGCTTCATCTGGCAGTGTCCAGGAAGGAGGCCAAGTAACAGAGGATATGAAAACAGAAGCATTATATTTAATATAGGGCAGGAGAAAGAAAGGTGCAGCAATGTCTCTAGGGCTGATGCCACTTGAGGTGTTGTTGTTGTTGTTGTTAGAGACTCAAGTAACAGAGGACGTTAAAACAAAAGGGGAATATTTATTATAGAGTAGGAAAATGCCTTGATTACATCTCTGAATAAGTCTTGCTTCATTTTGTCTCTTAGGCTTTGGTAAATTATTAGATTAATCCTCCCAGGGATGTTGGGGGCTGGGCTTGAGACCCAGCCATGCTCCAAAATTATGTTATAAATGTATAAATGTTATTATTGTTGTTAAATGAGAAGGATTTTTTGATAACACCGGGCATTGTAGTTTCACCAGGTCTTGAGCCTTCCTCTGCCCGAGAAGGCCGGGGCCTTGCTGAACTACAACTCCCAGGATTCCATCGCATCCGGTCGAAACACAAGGCATTTACCTGGGTGTGCACAATGACACGAATAACTTTGCAGTACTTCTTCATGGCCGCAAAGTCCTTCTCCAGCTGCTTCTTCCCTGCCTCGTCCTGCCATTTTTTGCAGAACTTGGTGAAGGCCTTCTTCTTGCTCTTGTGCCTGAGAAAGATAAGAGGAATTTGTACCAAACAATCAAACTTATTTCAAACATTCAAAGTTTTGGGATTCTTCTGCCATGCCGCCCTCACCAGTTCTTGTAGAAGCGCCGCCGGCATTCGTCACTGATGTGTTCAGCGAAGATGGTTCTGAAACTCCGCAGGCCCCTTGGGGTCTCTATGTATCCCACGACTCCAACCACCACTAAAGGGGGTGTCTCAATGATGGTCACCGCCTCCACCTCCTCCCTTTTGGACACCTCTGGAAGAGGAAGAAACATGGGGAAAATAAGCTTAATACTGAGCACATTGAGTACATCTACACTGCAGAGTGAGTGTAGTAAAGTCTGCGTCAGATAGAAAATTGCTCTATTAGATAAGGATGCATTGCATGTATCTCCAGTGTGTGGAAAAATACAGTTCTTATAGACATGTGTTCACAGCACAGCCCACTGAAAGGGTTAAGAATGGGAGTGGCTTGTATATGAACTTCCTCTTTGCCATGTGCTTGCGAAATGGCATCTTTGATACCTTGCCATGATCTCTCTGCATCTGTAATCCATGTTGTCTGAGTATCTTGCTATGTTTGTGAGTGTCTCTGTATACTGATAGCAGACCTGTAAATAGTTGTACATAGAAATGACCGAAGAATAAACCCCCAAAGGAGTTTGGATGAAAGTCAAAGCTCAAGGGTGCTCATTCTAACTGGTGAGTTACTATACAAGGTCAGATGCTGGGATATAAAATCTCTGCTAACTGTGACCAAGACTCTGAAGTATTTGTGCAGATCAGAACTGCTTGCCTTGGAGGCAGTCCGTCCCACTGTGCAGCTGGATAAGGCTGTGTGTTTTACTCTTCTTCTCTTCTACCCCCACAAACAGTTTGATCCCACTTTAACTCTCTTGACTTAATGCTATGGAGTTCTAGGGGCTCTTACAAAACTATAGCTTCTAGTATGCCATAGCACTGTGCCATGGCACTTTGTGTCATGTTGCATTCACTCTACACATTGATAGCCAGCACACCAATTAAATGGTAAGGCATTTTGGGAGTTCTAGTTCAACCAGATCTGGAGAAGGGGGGCACATGAGTCCCAGATTTGCTTCTCAGAGGAAGAAGGCACTTTGCTATGGAAGGGAACCTGCTCTTCTCCAAATGGATTGCCATGGAATCAAGGCCCATCCTGAAGCTTCTCGTTTCCTATCAGAGCAGAAATTGAGAGTGAACCCCAAAATATTCAGGATGACATACTGAGCCCGGTCCGGTGCAGCTCCCGTAGGATGTGGGTCATGCCAGCCTTATAGCCCAGGAAGGCGGTCAGGTGGACCGGTTTGCTGGGGTCGTCCTTTGGCCAGGTCTTGACTTTGCCTCGGTGCCGGCGGCTCCGTTTATGAGGAAGGAAGCCCATGTGCCCATGGCGGGGAGCTTGGAACTTGCGGTGCGACTGGAATAGAGGAAGGGAGGGAGAGTAAGGGAAGGAAGGAAGGTGGAAGGCAGGAGGAAGGGGGAATGAAACAAGGGAGGAAGGGGAAGGGAGGAAGGGAGGAAAGAGGAAGGGAAATGAAGAAGGGAGGGAGGAGAAGGAAGGAAGGAGAATGAAAGATGGAAGGGAGGGAGGGAAGAATGAGGGAGGAGAATGAAAGAAGGGAGTCAGGGAAGGGGGAGAAGTAAGGGAGGAAGAAAGAAAGGAAGAAGGAAGGAAGAATAATGAAAGAAGTAATGAAGGTAGGGGCAGGATGGAGAATGAAAGTAGGCATGGAGGAAGGGAGGAAGGAAAGGAGGAAGGAAGGAATTGAGGAGAAGGGAGATAAGAAGGGAGGAGAGGAAAGAATGAAAAAAGTAGAGGAGGTGAAGGAGAGAAAGAAGAAAGGAAATAAAGATGGAAAGGGAAAGGAAAGAATAAAGGAAGGAGAAAGAATGGAAAGAAAGAGAAGGAAGGAAGAAGGGAGGGCGGACAGAAGGAAAGAAGGAAGGAAGGAAGGAAGGAAGGAAGAAAGGAAGGAAGGAAGGAAGGAAGGAAGGAAGGAAGGAAGGAAGGAAGGTGAAAGAAGAAAGGGAAGGAAGAGGGGGGAAAGGGAGAAATGTAAAAGGAAGAAGGAAGAAAGGGAGGGAGGGAGGGAGGGAGGAAAGGGAAAGAAAGAAAATAAATTAGTTCATGCCTTCCTTCTTATACATGGATGTTCAAGGGAACACCTCCACTGTAGAATGAATGCAGTTTGACATCACTCTGAGTGCTGTGGCTCAATGCTACAGGACCCTTGCAGTTTGGTGAAGAATGGAAACCTTTGGCAAAGGCTAAAGGCCTTGGAAAACTAAAACTCCCAGAGTTCCATAGCATTGGGTCATGGCAGTGAAAAGCGCTGTCAAACTACCACTGTAGATCAGTGGGAATTGAAGTCCTAAATACCTGGAGGGCCAAAGTTTGAACATGCCTGGTGTAGATGCACTATAATGTTTATGATTATGATTATTACCATCATCATTATTAATTTCCCCAAAAAAAGAAAGGCAAGCGAGGCTCTTACCATGTGTGCGCGTCTCCCACAGACCCTGCAGCAGAGAAAGAGGCACGGAGCAAGTGACTCAATACCAAAGATGCTTCTCGGCCCCCAAGACATAAATTTAGCCGCTGGCCTCATGCAGAGGACATATTCATTTCATGCCTGGGGTCCGGCTGAGAGGAAAGGTCAGCCTGCAAGAGGGAGGCTCAGTTTACCACCAGCTGGGCCTCCTGGCCCCATTGGAGAGGGCTCCAAAATGCCCTTCCCTCCAGCCATCGGGATTCGAACCTCGAACCTCATGCCAGCATTTCATCTTGTCTTTGAAATGGCTTTTTAAAAGTATCCAGGCTGCAGGACTTATTAGCAGTTTGGTACCAATTTGTTCAACAATGTTGCCTTAGAATCACCTTCCTTCTATCTCTGGAGGTCTTTAAGTAGAGGCTGGAAGGTCATCTGTCGGGAGGACTTTGACTGTGCCTTCCTTATTGACGGAAGGGAGTTGGGTTGAATGGCCCTTGGGGTTCCTTCCAGTTCTGTTGTTGTTGTTGTTGCTGCTATTAAGCAGGGGCTAGATGGCCATCTGTCAAAAGGGCTTTGATTGTGACTTCCTTTATGGCAGAATACGATTTGGACTAGATAGCCCTTGGGGGTTCCCTTCCAACTCTAGGATTCTATTATTATTGTTGTTATCATTGTCGTCATTATTGTTAAGTAAGTGCTGGATGGCCATCTGTCAGGAGGGATTGGGTTGTGTATTACCTTTATGACAGCAGGAGATTGGACTGAATGGCTCTTGGGGTCCTTTACAGCTTGAGAACTCTATAATCATCATCACCATTAAGCAGAGGCTGGATGGCTATCTATTAGGAAAGCTTTGGTTGTGACTGCTTCTGGACAGAATGGGGTTGGATTGGATGGACCTTGGTGTCTCTTCCAATACTGTATTACTCTATAGACATATTTCCCTATGAACCTTCTAATGTCTGTGAGGCTGGATGGCCATCTGTCGGGAGGGCTTCTTTTGTGTCTTCCTTTATGGAAAATTAGGGTTGGGTGTTCTTTGAGGGTCCCTTAATTCTAGGATTCTATTAAAACCCCAGTTCCCAAATCTATGGGATCCTGGGAGTTGTATCTTGCCCTCTTTGGCAGAGAAAGCCGAAGACCTTGGTAAACTACAATTCTCATCGAAAAATTAACAACAATGTAAGTCAAATAATAAAAGTGATAGAAATATTTTAAAAAAATAATAGTAACGAAGACACGAAATTTGGACACAGTACACCTATCAGGCCAACGAGTGACCATCACTCATAAAAACACTGAAAACACAAAAGAAGGGATGAATACCAACGATAAGAATGATGGTAATAATTATAGCCCAGTATCAGCAGCATCCTGCCTTGCGCATGCGCAGCTATGAATCCCTTGTCTAAGAGCGCTTCTCTCTGCGCATGCGTTGAGTTATCCGAGATTGGGGGGGGGCTTTGAGTGCGTAACCATGGAGCTGCCTAAGCGCCATTCTCCACTCCCGCCGCCATCTTCCCCGCGCATGCGCACTGCTCCGTTTGCCCTATCCACGGCGAAGCAGCCATTTTGTCCCCGAGCCGCCGCCGCCGCGATGCCCTCGGAGCCGGACAAGGACGTCTACCGGGAGCCCCCCAGCCGCACCCCGGCTCCCAACCCCCAGACGACTGCCCCCAACCCCCTGGACTTCATCGAGACCGTCTTTTACTATGCCGTCGACCGTCCAGTCAGTCTCTGGAGAGGTGAGAAGCCGAGAAGGACCGTTGGGACCACAAGTCCCAGAGTCCTTTGCGCGCACCGCCGAGTATTATCCTGTGAGCTGAGTCGCGCGGTAGGTTGTGGGGGCTGTAGTCCAGATGGGCCTTGAGCTTCACAGTAATCAAAACCATGTAGGAGTAGTCCAGAGACGTGGAATTCCTTTTGCGAAGAATAGCTTCTGTTGCTATTGTTATTATTATTATTATTAATCTTCAAGAATCTTAGGAATGAGAGAACTCTCAGTGCATATATTATTATTATTATTATTAATAATAATAATAATAATAATAATAAGTTATGCAGAAAGAGTTCTCTCATTCCTAAGATTCTTATACGATATAATAATATATCATTTGTAAGTCGAGTTTTCATAACGCGGGGACTGCCTGTGGTTTATAGTTTTGTTTGTGTGTGTGTGTGTTTTTTTTTTTTGTTATACAGTGGACGTTAGGTATCTACTGGTTCCATGATCCCTTATACTGTAGCTATCAAAATTCATGGATGCCCAAGGGCTCAAATACATGATTGCGAAGACCCATCAGGCCTGTGGCATCTAAATGATACATGGTGCTGATCCGGTAAATATAGACCAAAGTACTTAATGTGACCCAGAATTGCAATAACCAAAGTCACTGGTTGCTCCAGATTCTTTCCCAGAATCAGGAGCAACCCACAACTTTGGCCACATGTAAAGGCTTGGGCTGATTCCCAGATGGAACTTGTCGCTACTGTTTATATGTTCCCTGGATTCATATGGTCCGGAGACATGGTATGGCATTTACCATATCCTCTTCATTGCAGTGGCCAATGGCTGCAATATTGTGTCGTTCAGGCCAGACCTGATGTATGACACCGGCTGAAGCAACAAAGCAATAAGAGAAAAGGGGCAGTGATTCCACCTTTCCCCTCTCCCCAGTCCTTCATTGCTCTGGCAACCTGGTTAACATCACTCCAGGCAACTAACACCTAACATGACCCATGCCATACACATCAGCTGCAACAAAAATGATAATAATCTATATAAATAAAAATGTAATGTTTGTTTGTGGGATTAACATAATGCAAAAACCACTGGACGAATTTACACGAAATTTGGACACAGCACACCTATCAGGCCAACGAGTGACCATCACTCATAAAAACACTGAAAACACAACAGAAGGGATTTAAGTGGCCAAAAAAGCAAAAAGAAGCTACAGCACATGTGCAGAAACGACTCCCCCTGGCAAACAAAATACACAATAGTATATCCACACTCTCTTCCGGACTATAGCTCCCAGCATCCCCTAGACCAGGCCCTGGTCTAGGGGACCAAGCTTTCTTCTCCTTGGATATTTTTGAAGGCATCCCTGCATATTTCCAATTTCCTATTCCTGGACTGCAATTCCCAGCAATCCTCCAGATATATAAAATAGATAGATTAGATTAGATAGAAGTAGGTAGGTAGTTAGATTGATCAGGAGAATTGCTGGGAGTTGCAGTCCAAGAATAGGTAGAGAAGGAAGAAGGGAGAAGAGAAGGGAAAGAAAAGAGGAGGAAGGAAGGAAGGAGAGAATGAAAGAAAAAAAGGGAAGGAAGGAAAGGAGGAGAGAAAGAGGAAGGGTAAGTTGGCCATAGCCAATGCGTGGTGGGTACAGCTAGCATACAATAATATTATATTATATTATTTATTTATTTATTTATTTCACAGTTTTCTATACTGAGCTTCTCAACCTCATTGAGGGACTCAGCCCGGTTTCCAGCCATAAAAAACATATACACTCATTAAAATATCATATATCACAATTACAAAACAAGTTTAAAAACACTATTATATAATATTATATTATATATATATACACACACAGAGACATATATATATATATAGAGAGAGAGAGACATACATACATACATACACACATTATATATGATAATATAATATAATAATGCTAATATAGCATTACAATACAATATTATAATAATACTAATAACACTAATAATACAATATAATAATGTAATACAATATAATAATACTAATACTTATAAAACAAAATATAATAATAACACATATATTCTAACAATATATAATATAATCATAATACTACTAATAATAAAATACAGTATTATACAATATAAATCATAATACTAATAATACAATGTAATAGTAGAATAAAATATTATAGTAAAATGAATAATACTAATAAAATATAATAACATAATAGTACAATGTAATGATATTACTAATAATATAATAATATAATACAATAATAATCATAATATAATATGATATAATAATAATACATACAATCATTATAAGGTTAACCCCATTTTCATCACCATGGCTCAGTGCATTGGATGATGATGTTGATGATGTAAACATTACAATACACCCAGCCTCTGTTTAAAGACCTCAAAGGCCACCCAGTCCAACCCCCTCCTGCCAGACAGGAAGACACAATCAAAGCCCTCCCAACAGATGGCCATCCAGCCTCTGCTTTAAAACTTCCAAAAAAGGGGAGCTTCCCATGACTTCCAGGATGCAGTGGTTCCATTGCCAAGCAGAAGCTTTTACAAATGCTGCCTTTTGACCGATTTTTCTCCCTTCTGCAGAATGGATTGAGCGCCAGCACGCCAAGAATCGGATTTATTATTATCACCAGAAGTTCCCCCGCATCCCGGACCTGACACAGTGCTTGGAAGACGACTACGTCTGTTTCTATGAAGCGGAGATGCAGTGGAAGAGAGATTTGTAGGGTTCTTCCTTATCCCTTTTCATCCTGCCCTCAATGTTCAGGAAGGGAAGACGCATTGGGATATTATTTCCAGTTAAATACATCTGGATTTCAGTGAAATAATAGAATCCTAGAATTGGAAGGGATCCCAAAGGCCATCCAGTCCAACCCCCTCCTGCCAGGCAGGAAGGAAGAGAGCATTATCATATTATTATCCATTAACATCATCATCATCATTATTATTATTATATTCATATAATTGGAAGGGATCCCCATCAGTCCTCCAATCCAACCCCCTCCTGCCAGGTAGCAAGATAGAACCACCATATAGTTAACCATCATAATCTATTATTATTATATCCATATATTTAGAAGAGATCCCCAACAGCCATCCAGTCCAACCCACTCCTGCCAAGCACTCCTGCCTGATGGCCATCCAGCTTCATCCAGAGAGAGTAGGAGACTCCAACAGATTCCAAGGCAGACTGTTGTCAGCTATAGTTAGGAGGGTCAGAAGGAGGTTGGATTGGATAGTCTTTGCAGGTCTCTTCCAACTCTAGGATTCTATGATATATCAGTTGTGTATATTATATATCTCATATTTGTTAATGTATTATATTTATGGCTGGATGGTCATTTGGGAAGGATCGGATTGTGGTTGAATGGGGTTGGACTGGATGGCCCTTGGTGGTCTCTTCCAAGTCTGTGATTCAAAGGAAGAGCCTGGCCCCTCTAGCTGCTATCCAGAATGTCTGATTAAAGACCCAGGATAAATTAGGTGGCACATTCTTAATGCTCATTGATCTTGTTTTGCAGTTTGGTTGACCAAGAAATTGTGAAAATCATCCAGGAGCGGCTGGGGGCTTGTAAGCAGCGAGAAGGCACTAGCCACCTCGAGAACTGTGCCACAGAGCTGCAGCAGTTCAAAGAGGTGGCCCAGGCCTATCGGGACAGATGTGAGTCTAGCCTTCATTCTGGCTTTTATGGGGAAGAGAAATCAAATGCTGTACTCAAGGATGGGAAATGTGTATGCAACCCCCATTAATAATAACAGCAACAATAGGTGGTTTCTGCAACTTCTCCTGAAATAATAATAATAATAATAATAATAATAATAATAATAGTAATAGTAATGTGGTTTTAGCCATTCCTTCAGGAGCCCCCGGTGGCACAGTGGGTTAAACCCCTGTGCTAGCAGGACTGAAGACTGACAGGTTATAGGTTCAAATCTAGGGAGAGCGCAGATGAGCTCTCTCTGTCAGCTCCGGCTCCTCATGCAGGGACATGAGAGAAGCCTCCCACAAGGATGGTAAAAACATCAAAACATCCTGGCTTCCCCTGGGCAATGTCCTTGCATACGACCAATTCTCTCACACCAGAAGCGACTTGCAATTTCTCAAGTTGCTCCTGACATGAAGAAAGGGCATTCCTTCCCCAGAAAATAATAATAATAATAATAATAATAATAATAATAATAATAGGTTTCACCAATTCCTTCCCCTGAAATAAATATAATAGGTGGTTTAGGCAATTCCTTCCCCTGAAATACAGCCTGTGCAACCCAGTATTCATTGGCAGCCGTTAGTTTTAAGGGTTTGAACTGTTGATTTTAGATACTACTCATATGTCATTCTATTTTAATATTTGTATATTTTTAGGTTTAAAACCTTATCATTTTGGTTTTACCATAAGTTGCTTTGAGTCTATTTTTTTTAGAGAAAAAGCAGGATACTAGTATTACTACTATTTCAGGTTTTGGCAATTCCTTCCCTTGAAATACAGGCTATGCCACTTGATATCCATTAGCAGTCTCCCTTCCAGATGCTAACCAGAGTATAACCTACTTAGCTTCTAATATCAGACAGTATCTGGTGTTCTTTGAGTTTCAAATACACTACAAAACTATTGATGTGAACCTTCTATTCTAGTCTAAAGCCTTTTGGCGATTTCAAAGCTACAACTCTTCATAAGAGCTAAGACCCCTAGGTGTCCAGTACCCTTATGTGAATTGACTTAACAGCAATTATGGCAGTTTTCTTGAATTTCTCATTTAAAAGAGGGTTTATCTTTGCATTTATCTTAAGGCTGGGAGGAGTTATACTATGTGGGGTCTTCCATGAAGGGAGTCTCAGTTCCTCCTCAGAAAAGATGATGTTGGCCTTGAAGGGGTTTATTAGTTTATTTATTGTTTTTACGCAAAAGTAGCACCGCCTTTCCTTCTCCTCCCAGATGGTGAGCTTGGTGCCCACGGAAATGCTCGCACGTGTTTAATGAAGCAGAAGCACCGGATGATTGCTGAAAGGAAGGCTGCAGCAGCACCAGCACCAGAGGCATAATCCCGAGGCATTTCCTGATCTTTGGCATTGAATGTCAAGATAACTGAATGACATGACCAGGTATTGCTGTGTTTGAAACAGACCGCACAGCATGTTTTCAATAAAGCGAAGGCAGACTTACATGTAACTGTTCTGAAAAAAATATTAAAATTATGATGGTAAAAACTTTTTGTCCATGTTTGTAGAAGGAATGCGGAATGTCCATTAAGCTACCTTGAGACGATGGGATTTGCCATTACGGTTTTCAAATAGTGTTTCGGAATCCAAATGCATTCTGCTTGCGTTAAGCAAAGTTATAAGAATCATCTTATGCCTCCATTCTCAGAATGTTTTAGGTTATGGTACACTCTTATATAGAAATGTTTTAATTCTTAAACTTCAGTAAACCGATCAGAAGAATAGGGTTGTGTGTTCCTTGTTTCTGCACATCAGAAAAATACTAAAATATAGATTGTAGTTTGTAAAATAAAAAGTGTGAGGTTTAGAAACCTGCTGGATGGCCATCTGTTGGGAGGGATTGGATGTTTTCCTGCCTGATAGAAGGGTTGGACTAGATAGCCCAGGGGTCCCTTCCAATTCTATGGTTGTATTATTAAGCTGAGGCTGGATGGGCTTTGATCAGCGTTTCTCAACATGGGGGTCACGAGGGAATTTCAGAGGGGTTGCCAAAGACTATCAGAAAACATTTCTGGTGGCCTTAGGAACCCCTCTGGCAGAGAAGGCTGAAGATCTCTGTGCGGGGCAAGGGAGAGCATGTGAGACTGGAGGGAGGTTCACGCCAGCGATTCCCTTCAAGGCATGGGGTTCTGGTGGTGAGTTTGGCCCAATTCTATTGTTGGTGGGGTTCAGAGTGCTCTTTGATTGAAGGTGAACTATAAATCCCAGCAACTACAACTCCCAATTGTCAAGCTCGATTTCCCCCAAACTCCACTAGTGTTCACATTTGGGCGTATTGAGCATCCATGCCAAGTTTGGTCCACATCCATTATTTGAGTCGTGTTCTCTGGATGTAGGTGAACTACAACTCCAAAACTCAAGGTCAATGCCCACTAAACCCTTCCAATATTTTCTGTTGGTAATGGGAGTTATGTGTGTCAAGTTTGGTTCAATTCCATTGTTGGTGGAGTTCATAGTGTTTTTGTTTTTAGATTACTATAAATCCCAACTACAACTCCCATATATCCTCCCAAGCCCACCAGTATTCAAATTTGGGCATATCGGGTATTTGTTCCAAATTTGGTCCAGTGAATGAAGATCCTGCCTATCAGATATTTACATTACAATTCAGAACGGTAGCAAAATTACAGTTATGAAGTAGCAATAAAAATAATGTTATGGTTGGGGGTCATGACAACATGAGGAATTGTATTAAGGGGTTGCGACATTAGGAAGGTTGTGAAACACTGGTTTGAATGGTCCCTTCCAACTCTATTGAGTCTATGTATGGCCAGCCCAAGTCCTCAATGTTGAGAAGTGCTGCCAATGACAGCCAATCAGCATTAGTCTAAAAAGCCTCCCATGCTAAGGCTACTCAATGCGTGCTCTGTCTCCAAGCATGTGCAGAGTTCTTTCTGCCCATCTCCCACTCTTGTGCATTTGCTTCTACCAGTAGCGACTGCCATTCGTGCAAGTAGGCAATACACTTGTGTTCTTACAGAAGAAAGCTCTTTATTATTATCTTTATGGGCTTCATTACAAACACTGCTGCCCATACGGTAAACATTTTCTTCCCCATAAAGACTGCTGGCCAATTGAAAGAACCCACCAAATCAAAGAAGTATTTGCCAGACTAGTTTTAAAAATCGCTTGGTTCTGATATTTTATTGAACATTTTCGTCTTAAAAGCGTTTCCTCTTAAGTAGTGGCCACAGCAGCTGCCTGGGTTCTCTGCACAGAGACTCGAGTGGCATGGGTCTTCGCCAGGTGGTCAGTAAACTCCTGCAGAAAAGGAAAAAGGATCATTATCCAAAGAAACAGCCATGCTTGCACAATTTGCTGTAAGGGAAATAAACAATTCAGTATCACACTAGCTAATATATTTATAGCTTGCGATTTGGTCTTCCTCCCCAGCTCTTGGAGGAGGAATAAAAGGTAATTCCAAGACATCGTTCCCAATCTCACGTTTTCCTTACCTGATATGGAGATTTGGTGAAGACTGTCTCCTTCCAGAGGTCGGGGGTCAGATAGCTGTACGTCTTGGAGATGGCGTCAAAAGTGGCCTTGGCTGGAAAAAGGAATGACAGGTCAATGACAACTGGTGAATCCCCAAGAGATTCCAACTGCATCGCCATTGCTAAGCACATGCAGGTTCCCTGCATGTTGACCTGTTGAGTCCGGAAAGGAACAGGGAGACCACAGGGTCAGGTCCCGCTGCCGTGCATTTAGGGACTCAGTTGCTGTCCCTCTCGGAAAACGACAGCAGCGCCACTGGCATCATGCGCAACTGAGCAGAGCTGGGAGGGTTTGAAAGCATACCCCAAAGTGTAGCACTTACATCAGATTGGAAAACACTTCATACAATTTCATATTAAAGTTTCCCCCTCTATAAAACTTTTTTTCTCTCCTTTTGATGATACTGATATTAGTGTGCATCTTACCACCAATGGCGTCTCATAATTGATCAAATATCATATGAATTCATTTAAAATAACATAAGACTCTGGTTGCCTTTGTATCAGCTGACAGCCATGACTCCCTTCCATCCCCATCTTTTTCCTAGTAGAAATATAGGTCCTTAAAGCTAATGCAGGCCTAGCTCTCCTCCCTTAAAAGGTATGGGTCATAGTATGGGGCCATAATTTACATTACAGATATCTTAATTAAGATTATTAAAATATTAAGAATAATTAAAATATAAAATTGATAGTCATAGAGACTGTAATATATACCAATACAAAACACTACTTATGTTATTACTATTATCATCATGATGTCTCCTATTAGGGTGCAGCAATGTCAACAAATATAATAATTAATAAATAATTAAAGAATAATGACATGGATTCATAGTCACCGGAGAACACTGTAGCCCTTCAGATTGCAATCTAAAAATTGCTGAAGAGAATGAGGCACACTGCAAGCCCACAAGGCTCTCGGTTCTCCTTTTGAACACAAAGTGTTTCTAATTTTACCAGGCTAGATACAGTATTAAGGGTTGGCCCTACGAAGGTAGTATCTGTAAATTCCTCCCTTAGAGAACTGAATACACTGCAGGCAAAAAGTATCAAAGAGAGGGGAGACACTGCCCTTGATTCACTGCCAATGTCTTCTAACTCTACTCTCTAAGTAATTGGGGCCAGCAAACCTACCAAAGTTGCCCAAGGTAGCTGTGCAGCCCCTGGCCGAGGTGTAGCAGTCGTCGATGCCAGCCATCATCAGCAGCTTCTTGGGAACTGGGGCAGAAACGATCCCGGTACCACGTGGTGCAGGGATGAGGCGCACTAGAACTGAGCCACATCGACCGGTGACCTACAACAAAAGATGAAGATCAGCTTCATACAAGGAGAGACTTCTCCAAATGGTTTCATGTGGATACAGCCACTCCAGCAACCGGCTACCTTGCAAGGCACGGTGTGGGGTTTGCCGATCTTGTTGCCCCAGTAGCCCCGCCTGACTGGCACGATGGACAGCTTGGCCAAGATGATGGCCCCCCGGATGGCAGTGGCCACTTCTTTGGAGCATTTGACACCAAGGCCCACGTGGCCGTTGTAGTCGCCGATGGCAACAAACGCCTGAAGGGGGGAAACCACAAGTCAAGTCACTCATGCAGCTGAAATGCAACTATTATTTATTTATTTACTGTATTTGTATACTGCCTTTCTCAGCCCACATGCGACTCAAATAATCTATATTTATCTCAGGCATGGGCAAACTTTGGCCCTCCAGGTGTTTGGGGCTTAACTCCCGCAATTCCTAACAGGCAGAAGGGACGAAGTTTGCCCATGCCTGATGTTATACAATAATAATAATGTTAATTAATATAATAGTAAATAATGTTATGAAAATCAATTAATTATTATATTATTGATGTAGAAGCAAATGTGTCTTTGTGTGTATATACGTATGTGCGTGCCTGCGCATGTCTCTATTTTCCAGGATGGCACCCACATCCAGAGAGCTGTATCATGGCCACCGATAATTAATCTGGACCAAACTTGACATCATGTCAACTTTTAAGTACTGGTGTGGTATGGAAGCAATGACAGATATTGGGAGTTGTAGCTGACCCACACCCATATATATTTCCTAATGTGACCATTTAAACATCTCTAAACTCAGCATTCGGGGCTTTAAGGGAACAGAATTAGCAGCTCCATGCTGTTCTAAGAAATCCTGGCAGTTTCTTTAGTATTAAATAAGACACAAAACAAATAGGCAAAATGCAGAGATGCTGCTTGTGGAAGGGGGAGGGACCCCAAAGACTCACCTTGAACCTGGTTCGTTGACCGGCACGGGTCTGTTTCTGCACCGGCATGATCTTCAGAACCTCATCTTTCAGAGAGGAGCCCAGGAAAAAGTCAATGATTTCAGACTCCTGCAAAAGCAACACCGTTGACTCATCAGCCGCTGAGAAAGAATCACCATTACTGCAACAAGCCCCAGGGAAAGCAATGCACTCTTAAGAACACCGATGCCCCAAAGCCACCCAGAGCAATACCTTGATTGGAAGGGAGAAAAGGTAGATCTCTTCCAGGGACTTGATCTTCATGTCTTTGACCAAGCGACCAAGTTTGGTGACTGGAATCCACTGCAGGGATAGAAACGAACCATTTTAAGCTGCCCACCCAAAACATTCTATCAAGTCATTTATGCCAAATGCAACTTGGAGGGGCCTTAGATCCCACTTTGGGTCAAGGACAGGCTGGAAATTAGACACATCTAGTGCAAAAAACGAAACAAAAAGCGCAAGCACTTGAGACAGCTGCATGTGGATGTTGTTTAATGCTCTAATGGGCAACTGCTAAAAATCTCTCCTGCCAATATAAGTCAGTAAAATGTTATATGCATTTGCTTTATTTTAACTACAATGCCCCATGTTAGTTGTTAACCACCTTGAGTCTCCTATATTGGGAGAAAGATTGAATAACAAAAATAAAGGAAAAAAAGTTACTAATCTCATTAGCTCCAAAGAAGACTTTATGGGAAAGGCATCCAAGTCTTTCGGAGCCTTCATTGCCAAGCTATGAAGTGTCAATTGATATGATCAATATTTAAAACGTAATAAATGGCAGCTTTGGATCACATCTGCCTTATTTCCCCAAAAATAAGACCGACTCTTATATTAATTTTTGCTCCAAAAGACATATTAGGACTTACTTTCAGGAGACATCTTACTTTTTCATGTATAACAATCTACATTGATTCACATATAAAAATCTGCACTGATTCAAATGCAGTCATGTCATCCTCTTCTGGAACACTGTCATATTATGCCAAGAATATTACTTATGGTATTTATATTCAATTATGTATTCATATTATTATTTTATAATTCAATACAGCCATCACTGGCTGCTACCAGACAAAGCATCTGCCTGGCTGATGAGATGATCTTAACCAGGGCTTATTTTTGTGGTAATAGGGCTTATATCAACATGTAACAAAATTTGGGGAGGGGGGTGAGCTCCTGGTTTGAAAGTTTTATTCCTGTGTAATTGTGTGGCACTTACTTTGAAAGTAGTTGTTATACCCCAGAAACTTCATTTTTGTGGCTGCCACAAACTAGGTTGGATTTCTTGAGATTCTATGAGATATTCATTGAAAAACTAGAGCAAAATGTGCTGCAGGATGTCCCTCTCGCAGAAACAAAAGTTTTTGCAGTTTAATAAACTTTTCCCATGTTTTAAAGATAGGGCCAATTAGAAAATGACATTGATAAGCCAGGAACAAAAATTGTGTTACAGTATTAACCACGGCTTACGTTTTGGTAGTAGAGCTTATATTATGGGCATCGTGCTAGATCTTATTTCCAGAGGAAACAAAAGAGGGTTTCCACAATGTTAAAAAATGGGGAGTTTTCAATAGATTCATCACTAGCAGCTTTGTGGCCACGTTTCCACTGGTGCATAGCTTTCAGACCCCAGTGTACTGCCCCTAACAGTGCAATTCGAACTTTTAAGTACAGAAAGAACAAAAAGGATGGAGTCCAACTCACTTCTTTGTCCTCTGCCTTGCCTCCGCGGGCCCCACGTCCTCTTCCACGGCCTCTGCCCCTTCCGCGGCCCCGTCCTCGGCCTCCGCTGCCAAAGCCACCCCGGAAGCCGCCTCGGGCCGCCGGTCCTCCTCCTCCGCCACCACCAGCCCCTCCAGCCCCTCCCGCAGCACCGGCGTCGTCCGCCATTTGCTGCCAAAAGGAAAAAAAGACATAGGAATCGTCATTTCATTACAAGCCTCCGCGTCCAACTCATTCCCATCAAGGGCCACATCAGGTTGCCTTCAAACCTTTTCACTCAGGCAGGCTTTTAAAGGTTTGTAAGATCAAGACATGGGATGCTGTGGTTTTAGTTTTGAATAGGTTTCCAATCAGTTGTAAGGATGTTAACTGTTAATTTTAATTAATTACATTGATGTTTAAGTCTATTTCAATATTTCTACATATTTAGATTGTAAATTGCATTGAAATGCTTTTAATTGAGCTGATTAGTCTCTCTTTTATGAAGAGAAAAAGCGGGGTATAAATAAGCGTAATACTACAGGCAGTCCTCAAGTCAAAAGATAGGTCCTAAGTCGAAACGGGTACATTTTTAAGCGTAACCCCAACCAATCACATATACAGTTGTGGTGTTTGTTTTGCTGTCTGTGCCTCTGTTAAAGATTTCCCCTCACTTTTTGTCTCTGTGAGATTTTGATTTTGGAAAATATGGCTTGTTATGAAAACAAGGATTAGTGATAAAGCTTTAGCAGAGACCCCTTTTTCCCATGATTACTCTTCCAGAAGTTAATTTCTCATTTTTGGGGGAGAGGGGGCAGTTTTCTCTCACTTCCTGTTGTCTCAGCCCTGTATGTAAGTCAGAGGTTTGTACTTTGGGGACTGCCTGTAATAACAATATAATAATAATAATAATAATAATAATAATAATAATAATGGCCATTGATACAAAGGGCCAACTATAATTTTCTTATATAGCAGTCAGTCCTCTTTAGTTCTTAACTGATTATTCTTGGTCAATTGGATTACATTTGTGATAGTCTTTAAGGATTTTAACTGGTTACTTTTTAATAACATTAATATTTAATTTTGCTTCTATATTTTTAAATTGTATTTCATTTGGTTGTACTGTGAGCTGCTTCAAGTCTCTTTTGTAGAGAGAGAAAGTGGAGTATAAATAAACACTTGCATTCTGGATCAACTGATCCAGGCCACAAAAGGCAAATTCTAAACTTGCGTCCTTTGTTTAATCTGTTTCTGTATTTTAATATGCAATTTATAGAAATACATTTTAGTATGTGTATTTGTTGTATTTTTACAATGTTTTATGTGTTTTAATTATTCTGTAACCTGCCTCAAATCACGAGGAGAGGCAGGTACAAAATACAATTATTATTAAGCGAAATCCATGGCATAGATACAAATAAACAGAAAACGGCGAAGCTACCCTTAGTAGGTAATACATGAGAAAAATTAGACTTTGGGGATCCATTTTAGAAAACAATATTGTTAAGAGAACATCCTTGAGCATTTCATGGGATTTACTTCCAAATACAATTATAAAATGGGACCTATTTACAAAGATATAATTAAAACCTGATCAATACACTTCAAGAGTAAAGGTAATGGCTCTTTGCTTTAAATCAGCACATTTCTAGGATCTTCATAATGTATTTTTAATCCCTTCTTTCACTTTATTGTGGAAAACATTGTTGAAATTAAAATAACCCATTTTTCTTTTAAGCCGTGCAATTTTCTTTAGTTTTCACACTTACTTTTGGGGTATTATTAATAATATATTTAATAAAACCCATTTTACTCCTATATATGGGATTTTAAGAGTCTATTTCCATGTCAAATCCAGAAAGCTATACATTGTCTTTAGTCAATTCAATATTAAAACTTCAGCATTGCTTATTCATCGAAACAATATTTCAAATAATTTTGTCCATGAAGCCAATTTTTGTTGATATTGATTTATCTAACGAAGGCTACAAATATGGCTCTATTTTTGCACAGTCTGGATTCCCAGATGCGAGCTATTCAACTTGTATTTTAAAATAATCAAAAGTAAAGCATTCTAGACTTGCTGCAAATGATTATATTTATTTATACTCCGCTTTATCTCCCCAAAGGGAACTTGACGTAAAAGCATTAGCCCAGAATTTAAAATATACAAATATCAAAACATAACTAAACACAAACAGCAGTAAAAAATAAATAAATTAAAATCCTATAAAAAAGGATCTTCAATGTTATTCTTCCCAGGTCCCTTCTACACTGCTATATAATCCAGATGACCAAAGCAGATAATCCAGTTCAAATCTGATAATCTGGACTTTATATGGCAGTGTAGGAGCCCAGAAACCAACCCAATAAGAAATAATCCAGTTTTTCCTGATCAATTTAGCACTCGCATGGCCTACTAATCCAGATGATTCATGCCTTGTATATATTAAAGCCTTAGTAGGCCCAAAACAAAGGATCCACGTCTGAATGCAGCCTTGAACCCGTATCTAACAGCTCCCGGGGGAAAAAATACAGAAACCATCCTCATTTTGGACTCCTTAGGAAACTGATAACTGACAACCATTCCCAACCCGCGAGAGTCGATTTAAACGCGCGATGGCAGCGGATTCCCCTTTCCGCCAGCTCTTTGACAAAACCCCTCACTTACGTGATCTCGATTAGAAGGCCGAAAGCCTGCGGCCGAAAGTATTTATTCACCGCAAAGTCTCGCGAGATTTTCCTCACGGCCGACCGGACGCGCAGCCGCAGAAGGTTTGTTATAAGGCGATGCTGGTGTTGGGAACCCCATACCGAGCATGGGTCTATAAAAAGGCCTCTGGAAAGCGGTCCACTTCCTGTCTGCACGTGGCCACGAGGTAAGTTGTGTTTAGGAGAGGAGTCTAGCAATGTATAGCAGAGTTATGTGTGTCCATGCCTAGGGGGTTGGAGTGCTTTATCCAGGTTAAAAATCAAGGTATTTGGTCCAAATCTTAGAAAAGTTACAGTGGGAGGACTACAGCTCCCAGAATCCCGTACTTGACTGGGCTGCTGAGAGTTGTAGTCCATTAAGGTCACATTTTAAAACACTTTGGACTTTGGCAGGCTTCTAAATTATTCCTATTACAATATAATTATATCTTATAGTTGTAATATAATGTTGTGATGAGTGCATTATCTATCCATCATTCAGAGTAACTCTTTCCAAACGGGTGCTGGTTTTATCTCAGTATTTCTACTAATAATGATAATCTAATAATAACCCTTGCAATAATATCCAAATACTATATTATAATTATTATTATAAATATATAATTATAATTAATTATAATTATATAATTAAGTAATTATTATAATATCCAAATACTAATATATAATAAAGCCTGACTGCTCATTGGAGGGAAGGATAGTAGAGGCCAAGATGAAGTACTTTGGCCTCATCATGAGAAGACAGGAAAGCCTAGAGAAGACAATGATGCTGGGGAAAATGGAAGGAAAAAGGAAGAGGGGTCGACCAAGGGCAAGATGGATGGGTGGCATCCTTGAAGTGACTGGATTGACCTTGAATCCTATCTAAAGAATCATAATAATACTAATATCATCATCATAATACCCAAATAATATCTGAAGAATACAATTAATGTTATCCTAATAACAGGAATATTATAATAATAACTTTATTTGTTTTCTGTCCAATCTCCCCAGGGGGACTCAGGACAGATTCCAACAACAGAAAGCAAATATTCAATGCCTATACAATAAGAAATACAAGTACATTAACCGACCACCCAAGTCCCAAAAAAGTGATTGTATATCACTTTAAATGCACATAAGTCAAGTTTACACCTACATAACAAATCAAACAACCAAGCAACCCACTTAAAAATTAATTTAAATTATATCTAATATAAAAAACATAAATCTGACTTCACAAAGAATTCACAAGAATCAATAAGTTAATTTTAAATGATGTTAAAATTCACTGTAGTTACCTGGAATATCAGGAAACCTACCCAGCCAACAAGCTAGAGCATAAAACAAATTCCAGACGGCAATCTTTTGGCTGGATGCAATCAACTAATCCTTCTCTCCGTGTGCCTGATGTCCAAACAGTCATAATAATATACAAATATTAATATCCAAAGAAAATAGCCTAATACTAATATACACATAATATCCAAAGAATCATAAATAATATCCTAATTATTATATCTTTATGATTAGAATATTCTAATAATAATATCTAAATAATAATGCTGGACTTTCATTGGGAGTTGAGCACAGAATTGCATGGGGAAGAAACGAAAGGTTCCTAAAACACTTTTATTATTAAATCCCCGAATAATCGAATTCGCAGAAGTCCAACCTGTAGATTTTGCCTCTTGAGGCACTGTCTGAAAATCGCCTTTGGCCTCTTCAGTGGCTTTGGGTGAGATATCGGTGCCCACAGCAAAGGGAACGTTTAGCTTATTGCCCTCAAGCATGAGGAGTGTGCAATAAAACCCATGTTCCTATATGCTACATGAGGGGGAAGAGCCTTGTATGGCATTCAAAAATTAAGCATCTCAAACCAAACTTCAGAATCCCCTCTGGAAGAGAGGGCAGAATATAAGTAAAGTTTTAATATGAATTATTATTATTACTAATTAATGATAATGATTTCCCCCCTTCAGGATCCATGAGAGGACTGCAGCTCAAAAAGTTGGAGAACCTTGAATGCAGTGAGAGCAGAAGAAGAGCGCCATGGAAATAAATAGACTAGGCTTCTGGCTGAAGAAGAATTGCTCAATTTATTGTATCCAGAACAGAATCATAGAATAATAGAGCTGGAAGAGAACACATAGGCCATCTAGTCCAACCCACTGCATGCACTCATATGCATATATACACAACATACATATATATATATATATGTATATTCATATTCACATACACTTATAATGCTCCAAATTGTCCATACAGGAGGCTGCAATAATGACACCTTTGCTTCCTGATTGCTTATTTATTTTATTTGCAATATTTATATACCACTTTTTTCATCCCTGGGGAGGAACTCAAAACAGTTTACAAAAAACACTCGCAAAATTCAATGCCTTACATATGTAAACTACAACATTAATCAAACAGCATATGACTAAGCATGAAATACAATAGGACAAATTCACCATAAGATAATAGAACATTTAAACATGAGGTATAAAAATTAAAAAAAACTAATAAAAATACTAAAATCACATGATTTGAACTTGTGGATCCGCATTTTGTTTCATGCACAGAATTATTTTTTAAATGTTGTAGATGTCTGTATTGTCTATCACATAGCACTTTATATTTACATTCTCTGTGCATTTACCTTATTGTTTACATATATTGTTCACTGTTTATTTTTACTGTAAACCGCATTGAGTCGCCGTTCCAGGCTGATAAATGCGGTATACAAATAGAGTAAATAAATAATAAATAAATACCTAGGATGCTGTATTTAACTGATTCTACTTTAATAGAGGTTGTTTTACCCAATTTATACACCTGGTTTATATATAATGTTATTATTTTCATGTTGATGTATTTTATTTTATGTATGACATCTTTGTGTGCTATTTTGTAATAAAGATTTGTAATAAATTTATAAAGTTTTATAATTATTAATGAAATAAAAAATAAATCTCTTGTTTGAACTTGCGTCTTCTACCGTTTGTCAGTAAATATTTCATGTCTTTTAAATTGGTTTTAATCTTTGTGGTTTTTCAATACATTATAGCTCTTCTAAATACGCTTCTGACACAATAAATAAAATAAATGACTCTTGTAGGTTTAATTCTCTTAATGCTTATAGTGTGCTTTGGAGTATTTTTAGAGGGGGGGGGAGTGATACACAATAAATATAATAATACAAAAATTAAAGTAACGTAATATCCTAACTAATATACTAATAATAATTTCCCAATAATATTAAATAAGAATATCCAGATAATATTCAAATAATAATACTATGCATGTTATCAATATATCACAACATCTTATTTTTAACTGCATTTTCTGAATATATTGATCTTTTAATACTTATAGTCTACTTTGGACATTTTAAGGGAGAAAAGCACAATATAAAGAAACAAAATAAACTTTCACACCTAGCTCCAACAGACAAGAGCTCTTTGTCCCACCCTGGTCATTCCACAGATATATAAACCCTTTTTCCTAGTTCCAACAGACCTCACAACCTCTGAGGATGCTTGCCATAGATGCAGGCGAAACGTCAGGAGAGAATGCCTGTAGAACATGGCCATATAGCCCGACAAAATCTACAAACATAAAATAATATTGAATATATAAACATCCAAATAAGAACAAGAATATCCAAATAATATCCCAATAGTAATATCCTAATAATAATACTATTCATGTCATTAATATATCACAGCTTCCAGTTTTTAACCCCATCACCTGAATTGGTTACTATTTTTCAATCTGTTGTTCCATGTCTCAATCCAAAAGCACTCCCAAGTGGCCAGATACTGGTCAAAGGACATTTAATCAACTGCCAAACTCACAAATTTTGTATTCTGTATTTGTATTTTTGTATTTTGTCTGTTTGTTTCCTTTGTCCTGTTAGAAATGTAATATAATTGACTGGTTGCTGATGACTCGATAAATAAAAAAAATAAATCCAAAAGAGCCCGGAAGTCGAGGTGAGAGTGTTTTTTTCACAGAAGTTTCCAAATCTTTTCATGCTTCTATGTTCACTTCAATTTTGGAAGCCGGAGGAAAACTTTAAAACGGGCCCGGAAATTGTGCCGCGGGTGGTTTCCTCTTACATTTTATAGCTCTATATCTGCCTGCGCTACCGCAGCGCGCCGGAAACCAGCGGCTCGTGCGCCGAAAGCCAGCCTCTCATACCGGAAGCACGTGTGTGAGAGACCACCAGAAAGGGTGAAACGGCAAGAGAGATGTCGGCTTCGAGCTCCTCGACGACTTTTAAAACTAAGTAAGGGGAGAAAAAGGGAGAGAGTGGGGGAGAGGTTAGGGTTGCCATGGAGACGCTGTTGCCACGACGACGACGATGGGGCGCCTCTCCATCTGTTGTGAGAGCAAAAGGGGCGCGTGACGTCACCGGCGGGAGCTACCGGGGTGCCTCTGCGCATGCGCGGGGGGGGCTCCTTTCTAGTATTCTAGGTTCTTGAGAGACTGTGGCTTCGTCTAGGCCAGGCCTGGGCAAACAGCCGGTAGGCTGTTAGGAATTGTGGGAGTTGAAGTCCAAAACACCCGGAGGGCCGAAGTTTGCCCAGGCCTGGTCTAGACTCTAGACAGACAGTTATAGTGCTATTGTTCCACTTGGCAACATTTCAATTAAATCCTAGGGTGTGCTGCTTATATTCTTTGTTGTCAATTGACTTTGTTTCATGGCGACACAATGAATGAGAGTTTTGTCTCCTAAGGAGAGCTTTGTGCTCTAGAGCTGCGTCTACACCGCAGAATGAATGCGGTTTGATGCCGCTTCAGCTGTTAAGGCTCAAGGCGAAGGCATGCTGGCAGCTGTCAAGGCTTGGAGCTCTTGTCAAATTTCCAGGATGTCATTGCAGCAAATTGTGACACAAGGGGTTGAATGAAAAGTAATGCCTCCACCTTCATAATTCCTCAACAGATGGCAGTACTGGTATGTGGCAGGTACTGGCTTCTTCAGTAGACTCTCCTCTGTAGACTCTCCTCTACAGTTTCATTTTGGCAGGAAGCCTTAGCATTGTACGGTTGTGTTGTTAAAATGCGAAGTATGGAACCCTGCACAGACGGTTGGCCAGTGCGACTTAAGCAATGTGCAGTCATTGAATTCTTGACAGCAGAAGGTGTGACCCCAAAGGAGATTCATTAGAGAATGCAGCTGTTTATGGTGATTGTGTTGATGTGAGTATTGTGCGTCTTTGGGCGAGTAAGTGTAAAGATGTTGAGGTGGCAACATCTGACTTGCATGACAAACAAAGAATTGCATGTCCTGTGACAGCAGCCACCGAGTTTCACAAGCAAAAGGTTGACAGATTGATTCAGGACAATTGTCGTATCACTAAGAGAGAAATTTCAAGCATAATCAGCATTTCACAAGAATGTGTGAATCACATTATTGCTTTGCTTGGCTATCGGAAGATCAGTGTATGATGGGTACCCAGGATGCTGATGCCTGAAATGAAAGCACACAGATCTCACCACCCTACAGCATCCTCCAAACAGTCCAGATTTAGCACCGTCTGACTTCTATCTGTTCCCGATAATGAAAGAAGATCTGTGGGGATCTGATGCTTCTGATGAAGACGTTGAGATGCTGGTTGCGGAAACAGAGTGTCGACTTCTTCCGTGACAGCTTCAGAAAACTTGTTCATCGTTGGCAGAAATGTACCCAATTGTCTGGTGATTATGTGGAAAAGTGAATAGTGGTAGTTAAAGAGCACATTCTAAGGATTATTTCTGTGTTTGATTTATTAAAATATTCATATCCAAACCCAAGTAATGAAGGAGGCATTACTTTTTATCCAGCTCTCATAATTCCACCGTGTAGATGCATTCCGGAACACCCAGCAGTTCAAGCAGCATCAAACTGTGTTAATTCCACCATGTAGACGCACTCAGGGATGCCCATCTGAATCCCTTCTCTTCTTCTCCACTTTTTCCCCTGTTCTGCCTTCCTTTATCAAATAAATAACACACAACCCTAAATATGGGGAATACAGTGGCATGGTGTGTGTATTTTGATTATTCTGCAGTCCACAGAATAAGCCATGAGGACAGGCAAGTAAGAAATAAAGGTATTATTATTATGACCTGACTATTAATTGGTACAGTTTCAGACTTTAGACCAGGCGTGGGCAAACTTCAGCTCCCACAATTCCTAACAGTTGGTACAATACTAATATCTGCACAATACTAGTTTTCTAAGTAATAGATTAAACTAAACATTTAGATTATTTAGACAATAATTCAGATAATAATTAAAATTTGATAAAAGTAATAATCCGAATAAGAATTATTAGGATGAACTTTTAATGAAGAAAAACCAGAGCAGAAGACAAGAAGAACACAGAATAGTACAGAAAATGTATTAATGTTTAAAATTAGATGACAATATTCCTCTTTTTTGTTATAGGGGATATATAGAATTTGTAATATTTTAATACTTTTAAGTAATGTGTGTAACAGATGAAGAATTAGATGTAATAACTATAATTTTGTACAGTGTGTTTCCCTGCGGCCCCTCAACTTCTCCCTTTTCCTCAGAGACATTCTAGATATTTGTAAAGAGTTAATCTATTAACGATAACTCCAATATTTCCACCCTCCCTTTTATTTCCATTTTACCCAACTGTTCTATTTTCCTCTCTTGTCTGGAAATATTTAATGAACTTACTTATTTAGGCGATCCCTCGTTGTCCAAGTATGATGGCCTTCCAAGTGTAGTGTTTTGGTGGTGGGTATGTAGATGACTGTGGAGCTCTATTTTTGATCCACATGTTCTTCTACAGTGAGGGCATTGGTTTCCAGGTGGAAGTCAGTCCTAATCAGGGTTGGCTTGACATGCCTTCCTCTGGGCAAATTACTCCCTTTTGCCCTCCATTTGTGTCTCTTTGAATTCTGCAGCACTACTGGTCACAGCTGACCTGCAGTTAGAGCGCTTAAGGGCCAGGGCTTCCCAGTTCTCGGTGTCTATGCCACGGTTTTTAAGGTTAGCTTTAAGCCCATCTTTAAATCTCTTTTCCTGTCCACCAACATTCCGTTTTCCATTCTTGAGCTGGAAGTATAGTAACTGCTTTGGGAGACTGTGATTGGGCATTTGGACAACATGGCCAGTCCAGTGGAGTTGATGGCATAGGAGCATTGCTTCAGTGCTAGTGGTCTTTGCTTCTTCTTCCAGCTTGCTGACATTTGTCTGCCTATCTTCCCAAGAGATTTTCAGGTTTTTTCTGGAGGCAACACTGATGGAATCGCTCCAGGAGTTGAGTGTGACGTCTGTACACACTCCATGTTTCACTGGCATATAACAGGGTTGGGAGGACAATAGCTTTATAAACAAGCACCTCGGTCATCCTATTTTAAAATAAAATAAATTTTATTTTAAAGTAAAATTTAAAATAAAATTATATTTTAAAATAAAAATATTATTTGAAAAGGAAAGAAAGCAAGCAAGCACCGGTGAGGAAAGGTCCCCCCATGGCTCTCACTTTGATCTCCCCAAGCACCAGATGGTTTTTATTTCACTCAGCCGATTCCATTTCAATAGTAAGCATGAGATACTAAATATTTCAGGTCTTTAGATAAAAGACAAGGAAGCAGTTGTTAACACTGGCAGATTTTTCTCATTCTCTTAATTCTCTACTGGTTTTCCTCCTCATTCCCTTTCACAGCTATTCCATCTTCCGGAAGATCGAGCCTTTCTACAAAGGAGGACGCATTCAGGTAATAAACTTGCAGGATTTTCTGTATTTTTGCAGCACATCCCATAGGCTTTTGATGTTACCTGAAAAGAAAGAGAGAGGGAGGGAGGGAGGAAAAAGGGAGGGATGGAGAAGGGGGAAAGAAAGAAATAATATTGTATTGGGTTTTTTGCCCTTCAAATGAGATATGTGCAGTATGTATAGGAATTTGTTCAGGATTTTTTTGAACTACAGTATAGTCAAGCACTCCCAACAGTCTGAAGGACCAAGAAGCAGCCCTCCACTTAAAAGGTCTGAGGAGCCCTGCTGTATGGGATGTGCTGCAAAAGAACTGCTCTCCTTATGTGTTTCTCCACCCCAGGTCAGCCAAGATGGGGATTATATGTTTTGCCCTTGTGGAAGCAAGGTCAACGTGGTCGAGATCTCGACGGGAGATGTGGTTCGCTGTATCGAACAGGTAATAAGAGCAACAAAATACTCCGCATAAAGTGACTGGGAAGTTTTGTTGGAAGTATTCTCAGACTTATTACTGTAAATCATGAAGTTATCAAAGGATTTTCCCTCCTTGTAATAGTTTTGCAAATAATTTACATTTGGAAAAATTTGCTCAGAGCAAGAACATGAAGACCCAAGCCATTGCTTCCCTCCTTTCTTTTCTCTCTCAGGATGATGAAACCGACATCACGACGTTTGCCCTCAGCAATGACGATGAAGTAAGTGATTGCCGGTTTGCAAAACAGGAATCTCACAATGAGAAGCCCTCTAAATACGGTGTTATCTCATCTTGTAGCAGCCTTCATCAGTAGTTGGAAATGCTGATAATTGTTCAACACTATTTGGAATGCCACACTTTCCCCATCCCTGAGTCTGAGGACACAGAGGGATAATGGATTGAACAAAGCACTTATGTAGTCCCAGCCATTGAGTTTTGATGGTGCCTTCCTGCCTTGTAGATGGTGCCTTCCTGCCTTGTAGTTTCCTACTTGGACTGGATAGCTCTTGGAGGTCCCTTTCATCTCTATGAGTCTGATAATAATGGATAATAATGAATAATAATCATAATACTGCACCCTCAGTGGCGCAGTGGGTTAAACAGCTCACCTTGTTGACCAAAAGATTAACGGTTCAAATCCGGGAAGCAGCGTGAGCTCCCGCTGTTAGTCCCAGCTTCTGCCAACCTAGCAGTTTGAAAACATGCAAATATGAGTAGATCAATAAGTACTGCTCTGACGGGAAGGTAACGGCGCTCCATTCAGTCATGCCGGCCACATGACCTTGTCTATGGACAAGGCTGGCTCTTCGGGTTAGAAATGGAGATGAGCATCACCCCCCAGAGTTGGACATGACTAGACTTAATGTCAGGGGGAAACATTTACCTTACTGTCTTTCTGCTTGGCAGGAAAGAGTTGGACTGGAGGGCTCTGAGAATAATAATAATAATCATAATAATAATAATAATAATAATAATAATGGGTAACAATAATAATTCTATTTTCCTGCCTGGAAGAAGGGGGTTTGACTAGATGGCCTTTGGGCCCCCTTCTAATTCTATGAGTCTTCAAGTATTAATAATGATAATGTGATAATAAATTATAATTATATAATAGTAATTATATCTTCCTGCCTCGCAGGAGGGGGTTGGACTGGATGTCTCTTGGAGGTCCCTTCCAACTCTGGGATTTTATTATGAGCTCTTTCCTAAGAGTTCCCTTTCTTCTTGTCTTTAGATCCTTGTGACTGCAAGTCAGGCATTGCTGCTGAAGCAATGGGACTGGCTGGCAAACAAATGCAGCCGCACCTGGAAAGCCACACACACAGCTCCAGTGGCCAGCATGGTGTTTGACTCGACCTCCACCTTGTTAGCCACAGGTATGGATTGAATTTTGCCTGATGGGTCAAATTATGGGAGAAATCTCTGAATCGGCTTGAAGTACTGCATACTTCCACATGCTAATAACTAGAGAGTAGAACTGACTACCACAAGATGTAGGTTTTTTCTATCGTGTTAGAAGTGACCCGAAAAACTGCAAGTCACTTCTGGTGTGAGAGAATTGGCCGTCAACAAGAATGTTGCCCAGGTGACGCCTGTATGTATTACCATCCTGTGGGAGGTTTTTCTCATGTCCCCGTAAGGGAAGTTGCAGCTGAGAGATGGGAACTCACCCTGTCTCGCGGATTTGAACTGCCAACTTTCAGGTCAGCAGTTCAACTGACCAAAGAGTTTAACCCATTGCACTATCGTGGCTCCATACAAGATGTAGTGATACCCATGTTTATGGAGGGCCACCTCAGCCTTATTGTGGTTGCCTTTGAAAGGCCATTGAATCCATGGATGGAGAATCCATGGAAACAGAGAGAAGACCAGCTATAATTTTATTACATAATGGTCGGTGCCCTTTAGTTTTTACCCAGTTTGGGACCCCATATGTTATTGAATGACAACTCCCATCATTTTTGTTATCTGGGGATGATGGAAATAACAGCACAACAGACCTTGTGGCTCTGAGGTTGGAGAAAGGTGAAAGGATCTTGTAAAGCTAGGCATCATCATCATATCCACAGACCTTGGAGTTCAGTTCAAACTCCACTCTCCTGACTAAAGAGAACAAACTGCAGCCTTCCAGAGGTCACTGTATCCCATCAGCTCTTGGCATGATATCCAATAATGAAGAATAGTCAAGCATGTAGAGGAAAGCCACATAAAATCACATGGCAGGATGGATTTGGGCCACAGGCCTTCACCCTGACACATATGTTTTAGGCCCTCTTTTTTCCTATTTTTTATCTAGGTGGCTGCGACAGCACCATCAAGATCTGGGATGTCCCCAGGCAGTACTGCACCCACAACCTGAAGGGCTCCTCCGGCGTCATCCAGTAAGGAAATGCCCTCGTTTTACAGAAATGCAAACTACTTTAGGTTGTCCACATATCATTTAGTCATTCAACTACAGGCATTGCTGTTCCATACTCAGCAATCAAAATGGAATCTCTGTTTTCTGCAATAATAATATTGACCTACCTTAAAGGTTTTCTGCAATATCATGAGATCAATATTGGCCTACCTTAGAAATCCTCCCTGTTCTCTGCAAAGCAAGATGTAAGTCCTTCCTCGTGAATCTCGTGGGTAGAATCTGCCAACAATTAGATTTGATGCGGATGACCAGGATGGTTTTAAATGGTGTATTTTAATATTTTGATAAATGGTTTTTAATGTTTATGTATTGTATGTGAATTTGTGTCCCAGCATTGAATGTTTGCTGTGTATATGATGTGCTCTGCCCTGAGTCCCCTTCGGGGTGAAAAGGGCGGAATATAAATGTTTTTTAAATAAATAAACAGTCTTCAGAGACTTTCGTAAGAGAGTCCAAAATTCCAAAAACAACTTCCTTGACACTTATTTGATCACCAGACCTTTTTGGTCCATCTATCCCAGTAGTTCTCATTCTGTGGGTCCTCAGATGTTTTGGCCTTCAACTCCCAAAAATCCTAACAGCTGGTAAACTGGCTGAATTTTCTAGGAGTTGTGGGCCAAAACACCAGGGGACTCACAGGTTGAGAACCACCGATCTATCCCAAACACCAGGTCAATTGGGCCTTCAGTGCCCTCTGTTAAAATACAGCAGAAAAGGAAGAACTGATGAAAAGAACAAGGTCCAGAGCAGATTAAAATAGTCTTTTTGCATTATCTGGAGACTTCTTATTCTCTTCTAATTGTATGCCTGCATTTCCCCGACAATAAGTTGGGTGGTATATTAATTAAGACGCATTAGGGCTTATTTTCAGGGGATGTCTTATTATCAGGGGTGGGTAGGGGAGTAGGGAACTAACAGCAGTAAATGGAAAAAAGGAGACCCAAAGATTAAACACCTCTGCTTTGAATCATATACTGAGGGCCCAGAATAGGTTGTCTCCACTCAGGTGAACCTTACCTGGCAAGCTAAAGCTGTGGAGTCCTATGCTTTTTCATTTGCTAAACAATCATGATGTCGAAGGACGTTGTTGGGTCATTGGTGCAGTGCCTATGTTTTGTATGTTTCCTGTCCAGCCTCGTGGAATTCCACCCAGACATCTCGCAGCTCCAGCTCTTCTCCTCCTCCATGGACAACATCATCCGCATTTGGGACCTGACCTCCAGCCAATGCATTGCCCAGCTGGAGAACCATTACAGCCCAGTTACCTCCCTGGCCTTTTCTCCCGACTACGAGACACTCATCAGGTGAGGAACTCCAATGGGCCTCCTGGTCTTTCCCTATTTATTATTACTATTATTTACTTCTTTTGCTCCCCGCCTTTCTCCCCAAAGGGACACAAGGTGGCTGATAACTACACACTTTGATCAATTTTAAACAAGGTGAATACAACCATTACAAAAAGATCATACTACTGTTATAGAGCAGAGGCTTTCGTTTGCCTGTACCTGCTGTAAGGAAACCCATCACCCTGTTTGCTCTAGCAAAATTATTGGAAATGTCATTTAGAGCAGGGCTTTTCAAATTCTTAACCCAGAGAGGTCCTCATCTTTCCTAAGGAATATTTCCCAGTGCTGTAGCTTAGTGCTATGGAATCCTGGGAGCTGTCGTTTCACTAGGCCTTCTCTGCCAAACTCCTAAGTCAATGACAATGCTTCTGGGTTGTTGTTTTTTTAGTGCCGGCCGTGATAAAATCTGCACCGTGTGGGACCTGAACAAGAAAGAATCAAAAGTCACCATCCCAGTCTATGAGGTAAAGTTCCTCTCCATTGGTTGATGCTGTTTGGCAGAAACATGTGCTCCCTGGAAATGCTTAACATTTTGAGTCATGATGTGCAAGAAAAACAGGGTCCTTCCTTGTCATCATTGGGAAGTTGGATACAGTTTTATTTCCCCCTTAAATTTCTGCCCACTTTCATTCTAACAGTTCAGAGACTTATTATATTCTTCTGCCTTTCACAGCTAGGCTTGGTTTTAAATTTCCACTGAAAGATGCAGTTGCTGCCTTTTCAGTATTATTATTATTATTTGATACACAACAAGATTATTACACAGCAAACAAGTTCACTATGCTGGCTGTATTGGATCACACGTCGGACACTTCCCAAGTGTCTAGAACTATGTGTTATATTGGCGAATAATGTGTGCAGATCCAAGTAGGATGGCCTTTTGCAGCTCACAGATGGTAATTTTGTCTGTGCTGGTTGTTTTTAAGTGCAGGCCAAGGTCTTTAGACACTGCACCCAGTGTGCCATCACCACTGGGACCACCTTGACTGGCTTGTGCCAGAGTCTTTGCTGTTCTATTATTGTTTTTGTTTTTTTAATCTTCCTCTCCCTGTGACTGTGGGCAAGACTATAGTTAATGGGCTAGAGAGTGAGAACACAGCCATCTTAGATGTAGTTTGGGAAAGTGAAGCTCCCAGTGGCAGGGAATGCAAAAGCCCCTGACGTAAACTACATTTCCCAGAATACAGTGCTGCTCAGTGTCTGAAGGACCCAATGAGAGCTGGCTGCAGCAGCTGCCGTTAGAGTCAGTCTAATAATAATAAAATTATTGAATCTGCAAAGAGGAATAAAGTAAGCATAAGCATTAAGCAACTTTGGCAAAGACAAGAGAACACAAGGGGCTTTGAAAACCAATCATTGGCCCCTTCGTTGCCATAAGGAAGGCGCTGTAGGGAAGAGTGCAGTTAAAGGGCTGGAGACTGAGAAAACAGCAAGCTTAAAAATATAGTTTAGGGACGTGAGACCCCCAGTGGCAGAAAATGCAAAAGGCCGTGCCCTAAACTACATTTCCCAGACTGCATCAGCATCAGAATGCACCAATCAGGATAGAAGCACGAGGTCTGTCCCTCCCTAACAACAACCTAATCTGCAAAGGGGAGGACTGACTGATACATCTCTTTCTAATAAGTAAGCCAATTGCTGTGCTGGGCTGGAAAAATAATGACTTAAATGGATGGCCCTTGGGAAGTATACTAATTGGATGTCAGGAAAGTTTGGATGGTGCCTTTCTGCCTGGAAGAAGAGGGTCAGTCTAGATGTCCCTTTATGGTGTCTGTACTGTGATTTCTGTTCCTGGGTTATAAATGTCAGTTCTTAATTGGTTCTGTCATAAAAACATGGCAAAAGTTTATTACACTGCAAAAATAGCACATTTTGCTTTGTAGTGTCTCTACCAATTTAACAAAGTTTCTGCCACAAAAACAAAGTTTCTGGAGTAGAACAACTCCTTTCAAAGTAAAGATCACACAGTAAAACAGTGAAACAGGAAATAACATTTTTAAAGCAGGAACTGATTTTCTTTATTATTCAAAAAATCTGTGGATATGTGAAATTGTGCATGCACAATTACTGCAAAGAAATAGTAAATTTCATTAGTCTTGTTATAGTAACAAGTTCTTTTTACTAAGTACACTTTAAAAACATTTTAGAAATGAAGCACCAGTGCCCCCCAGTTTTGTAAGTACTTTTGAACCATTTTTAATGGATCGCATATGTCATATATATATGAATGACTACATGTATATGTACACTGATATGTATGCATATAGATTATATACTTATCATATACACATGAATGCATATCATGTCGGTCCATCTATACATCCTGCTTTCAAATGCCTTCATCTCTCTTAGAGTGTTGAAGCTGTCGTCATGTTACCCGAAGGAGGAGACACCTCCCAGTTGGAGGTGAAGACATCCAGCTCCCTCTTTCTCACTGCCGGCAGCAAAGGTACCGTATATACTCGAGTATAAGCAGAGTTTTTCAACCCTTTTTTAGACTGAAAAAGCCTCCCTTGACTTATATTTGAGTCAAATTTATTTATTATTTTCCTCTATTATTATTATTATTATTATTATTATTATATTATTATTATTACATTTCTTATTTTGCTCTATTTATTATTATTATTATTATTATTATTATTATTATTATTATTACATTTACATTATGTTACTCTATTATTTTATTACATTTATTTTTTACTCTATTGTTATTATTACATTTATTATTTCATCTGGGGAGGTCCTGCTCTCGGTCCCACCACCACCGCAGTCGCGTTTGGTGGGGATGAGAGACAGGGCCTTCTCCTTGGTGGCCCCTCTGCTGTGAAACTCCCTCCCTAAAGAGGTTAGATCTGCCCCCTCCCTCCTGACATTTCTCAAGAGACTTAAAATTTGGCTGTGGGATCAAGCATTCACAGAATAGATCATTTTTATTGGTGAAGATGAGATTTTATGGACCGCATTTTTTGACTGATTTAAAGGATGTTTTACACCTGGCAAACTGTTTTAAATGTATATTTATTATCATTTTATGTAACTGTGTATTTATTGCTGTTTTTATATTGTTGGAAGCCACCCTGAGTCCCTCTTCAGAGATCGAGAATAGGACAGGATACAAATGTTCTAAAGAAAATTTTCTCTATTGTTATTATTACATTTCCATTATTTTACTCTATTATTTTTATTATGTTTATTATTTTACTCTCTTTATTCTTATTGGAAGGATACGTAAGCACATTTACATTGAAGAAGGATAGAATAATGGTTTAATCAGAGTTGGACAGTCTTATCTTAAATTGCAGTTTTATGTAAATATTCAAAAACATTTCACCTGCTGATGCCTCAGTTAATGTAATTTTATTGGTATCTATTTTTATTTTGAAATTTACCATTATCTGTTGTATTTCCCATCCTCGGCTTATACTCGAGTCAATATGTTTTTACAATTTTTTGTGGTAAAATTCAGTTCCTTGGCTTATATTCAGGTCAGCTTATCCTCGAGTATATACGGTATGTCAAAGATGTGGTTTTCATCCTTGAAAACCTGAAAATTATTTTGAGTGTTCCTCCAAGGTAAAAGATTGAGTGTTGCATAGAGTTGAAATTTTCTGTGTTGGAGTAACCGCCTTATGTTTCAGAGCTGTGTTTCCTTGACCTCCTGCCATGATCTTGTTATAAGGAAATAAAAATCACATTGGCCCCCAGATTGTGAACCAGGGGTCCTCCTAATTTCACCCAAAGCTTTTTGCCTCCTTTGCCGATGACTAACCCATGTTTCCTGCCTCTAGGTCTGCTCCGAGTGTGGGACTCCACCTCAGCCACCTGCATCCGCGTCCAGTCCCTGCCCAACCTTCCCACCAGGATCAAAGAAAAGGAGGCTGCGGTGACATCCGGAGAACACAGCCTGGTGCATTGCACCCTGGTTCCTGCAAAGAGCGAGGTCCTAGCTGTGAACACTGAGCACAACATCTGCATGTACGATGCGGAGACCCTTGAGCTCCGGAAGCAGGTAGGCTCCCATCTTAGAATCATAGAGTTGGAAGAGACCCCAAGGGCCATCTAGTCCGAATCCTCTTTTGTCATGCAGGAAAAGCACCATGAAACTACCCCGACAGATGGCCATCCAGCCTCCAGCCACCCTAAATCATAAAGTCATAGAATACTAGAGTTGGCTGTTGCCAGGTTTCTCTCTGACATAACGAGGATAAGACAACTTCTTGTATTCGACTGAGGCTGAAACTTGTCCTGTATCTGTTTGCAGCGTTCTTATCCTTGTTCATGTTATGAATAACTTTTCAGTAACTTTAAAGCATAGATTATTTATATTGCAATTTTCCAGTAAGAGAAAAAGTATCAGAACTTTTACGCTAAGAATGACATTAGGCATACAGACATACAGATTCTATGTAACGACATTGAATCTACAAACAACGTACATTGGCTAACAAACAAACAAAGGGGAATTAGATTTTTCCTCAGCATTCACATTACCCATACACATTCAGTCATCCTCATTCATCCAGATATTACCATTTCCTTTCTCTCTCTTTGGAGAAGCATTTGCTTAAGCCAGGCCCTGCTTTCTCCTGCAGACTGCCAACGCACAGTTCCAAAACTTCTAAAATGGCAAAAGCACCTCCTCTTTCCCTAAGAACAATGCCAAACAGATCCCTGTTTTCCCTACAGCAGAAACTTACTCCATGTAATAAATGTATCATAACAATATTTCTAAAATCATACTCCTTTCTCTTCCCATGAGAAAAACAGGCAAGTTTCCCGAATCCTGCTTTCCCATAGCAGACTTGACACTTCCAAAGTACACCATCTCTCTCAATAGAGCATGGTGGGTGACAGCTGTCTGTCGTCACACTTTTGGAATTTTAGAAGGTCTCTTATATAGCAATGCTTCTTGCTGATGTTGTTCCAAAGTTGTAAATGAATTATAGGTTGTTTTCCCAGTCCGAAACATCATGGCTTCATCTCTTCCTGGCAGATGTTGATTCTTCTTAATTGATGTTGATAAACATAAGCAGCCTTGTGTTGACTTCCTTGTTAACGTAAAGAACCTTGTAAACATTTCCTTAACTTAAAGAGCCATTGTCTCTGATAATGTAAACACAGTTCAACAGTTAATATTGTCACCGTTCTCATCAGCAACTTTTAATTACAGTTCCTGAATGTAGTTGTTTTCCAGGCCTCAATATTTTAGAATTGTGCCTTCAGACCAATTAGGTCCCATTCATACAGCTTTCACACAATTCCATTTAAACCATACATCATATATTTTTAAGCATCACATTCATATGTATCTTACATTGCACGTGGTCCTGCATTTAATTAGTCTTGTCAGTTTATTAATCTGTTTGCAGTTGTGCATCTTTTACTACTGTTAGGAATTGTGGGAGTCCAAAACACCTGGAGGGCCAAAGTTTGCCCATGCCTGCTGTAAGGAACACTGTTTCCTCAAAAATGCCCATCTGCCTCAGAGATTACGGTTTCCTTCCCTCTGTCCTATGTTTCCATTCTTTTCCGTTTGGCAAGTTCCCAACCCACTCATTTTCCTCTTTTCCTTCTTCATTTTCCAGTTTTCAGGTTACAATGGGGAAGTGCTGGATGTCCGGTTCGTGGGACCCAAAGACTCCCATATTGTGGTGGCCACCAATAGCCCCCAACTGAAGGTCTTTGAGCTGTCCTCCTCGCACTGCCAGATTCTGCAAGGCCACACAGGTGGGAACCCATTCTCTCCCTATCTTGGCTTCTACAAGGCGATTGAGCGAAAGAGAAAAAGTGCATGAGAGGGAAGGTGTCTGGCAGATCAGAAGCTTCTAACGTCAACAGAACAGACATTGAGCAATTAAGCAATTCAGGAGCAGAGTCAAGCTTAAAACTTATTATTATTATTATTATTATTATTATTATTAACACAACAAGATTAGTACACAGCAAACAAGATCACTATGCTGGCTGTCGTATTGGATCACACGTCGGTCACTTCCCAAGTGTCTACGACTGTGTGATGTATCGTTGAATAATGTGTGCAGATCCAAGTATGGTGGCCTTTTGCAGCTGACAGATGGTAATTTTGTTACCACCGATTGTGTTTAAGTGCAGGCCAAGGTCTTTAGGCACTGCATCCAGTGTGCCGATCACCACTGGGACCACCTTTACTGGCTTGTGCCAGAGTCTTTGCAGTTCGATCTTTTAAATTTGAGGATGATGATGATGATTAATATTTCTTACCTGCCTCTCCTTGAAGTTAAAAACACATAATTATAAAACATTATGTAAAAGACGTATGTTAAAATATATTTATATGGAATACATATATTAAATTACACAGAACAAAGATTAAAATACAGTAAACACAAGGTGTATACTGTATGTTGTGTTTATATTGTCTGTTATCAAAACAGACAATGAATTTGAAATCATGTCTTGTGCTTATGAAATGATTTTATTGATCAGCCAATTGGCCTTATCAAAAATCATTTCGTAAACATATGACATGATTTTGTAATTCATAACTGAAAGGTGTCTGTTTAGGTCTTCAGTTGTCACTTAAATTCCAACAGCTGATTTAGTTGCAATGGGATCTCTACCGGCAGTTCATTCCAAAGTCTTGGAACCTATGAAAAAGGTCCTCTAGGTGATGGTCACTACCCAGAAGACCTTTGAATAAAATACTTTATAATGCTTTTACCTGCTTTGGCATCTTTCTTGCAGATACTGTCCTGGGTTTGGATGTCTTCCGGAAGGGGAGGATGTTTGCTAGCTGTGGAAAGGTATTTATTTCCCAGTTGAGATCTCATAGGTATATGTGTGTGTGTGTGTGTGTGAGTGCGTGCAAACAAGATAGGATCTGTAGGTTTGTTCTTCAGTTGAATGTGTACGTAAGTTAGAACAGGTACATTTTGAAATGTAATTCCAGACATACACACACACATATATCTATCTATCTAAAAGTGAAAATATGTGTGTGTGTGTGGCTAGGTTGTCCACTTACACAAACAAGCTCCTGCCTCCACAAACAGCTATAGCTACCACTACTTGGGAAACCAGTGGCCCTCACTCCAATGACATTGCAGGTTATAATGAGCGCCATTAATGTGTACAAGAGCCCTGTCAATGTCCTCCACAAACACAGTACTGCCCCCCACCCAAGTGAAGGTTTACACTGCAGCCAGAGAGCACACTGAACCCCACGCATGATGCACCCACAGCAAACTTGCCCAACATAACAAACTTTAAGTACTGATGGAGTTTTTGGGGGCTAACCTGGCAAAATGTGAGTTGTAGTTCACCCACAACCTTATGCATTTTGCACAATTAAAAACTGACTTTTTCAAATAACGCAGGCAATGGCGGGTACCCAAGCTTTTATATATATAGAGAGAGGGGGATGTATACACAAGTTGGACTCTACTATATATGATTGAGGAGGAAAGCATAAAAAGGAGAGATTAAAACCTTGAAGCAAAAGGAACCTCAGCAAAGTCCAACCAGCTGACTGCATACTGTCTTTAGGATCCCTAGACACTATTTCTAATGGAGTGATTTATGAGGCAATGTTTTCTCAGAAAAATGGTCCCAAACCTTATCTCTTTTATGATGTAGTCGGCCTCTGTTCTGGATCCCCATGTTGCTATAACAGCTTTATTCTTGGGCCCCCAAAATCTGCTCTTCTGGACCTTCAGACAGAGACCTGACAACTCCCAGCTCCTAGGGGCTGGACTAGATGGCTTCTTGGGGACCCTTCCAGCTCTGTGATCTTGTAAATCCCAACCTGTCTTCTGTTTCCAGGATAAAAGTGTCCGCATTTGGCTGATGGCAAAAGATGGCACGGTCCGCTGCATCGCCCAGGGCCTGGGCCACGCACACGGAGTGGGTGCTCTTGCTTGTTCCAGGTATCGTAAATCTTTCCTTGCAACGCAAACACACTGGGATAGGAAATGACGAACAAATGCCAGGAAAGGCATTGACAACAAGGAAGGGACTGGCAAAACCACCTTTGGGTATCCTTTACTGCACCCATCCTGCACAAGCTTATAGTCCTCATGGAGGACTTAGCTAAGCAGATGAGTGAGTCGAAAGGGAAATCCCTTCTTCCCCCACTGGCCTCTTGGTCCCCCTCTTCATACCTGTGTTTTGGAGCACATGCCAGGGAACTGTGGAAGTTGAAGTCCAAAACACCTGGTTGGGGGGGGGGTGAAGTTTGCTCATACCTGGTCTGCACTCTGCAGCAAAGTTCCCTGTTAATAATGATAATACTGGGTTCGAAGGGGGTTTAATGATCTGCCCAAGTGGCTCCATTGTTCCTGACCTCTCTTTTATCCATCTTGATCATCTCTTCTTCTTCCAGAATGAAAGAGAACTTTGTGGTCACCGCCAGCCAGGACCATACCATCAAAGTGTGGCCTCTCCCCGACCCGCTTCCTGCCAAGGAGGACGATGACCTCGTGATCCTTCAGGCCCATGTGACAGAGAAGGCACACGACAAGGTAAATTGGCATTTAGAAAGCAGGACCTTGTGAATGGAAGGCCTCCAGCCAACCCCTTAGAGCTCTGGATGGATAGATAGATACAAAGATAAATAGATAACAAAGATAAATAGATAGATAGTTGATTCTTTTGTAAACTGTTTTGAGTCTTGTTTGTAGAGAGAAAATGTGGAGTAAAATAATAATAATGATACATAACATGGTTTTTGTTCCTGGGTTATAAATGTCATCTCCTAATTGGTTCTATCATTAAAAAAAACATGGGGAAAGTTTATTAAGCTGCAAAAACGTTTGTTTCTGTGAGAGGGACACCCTGAAAAACATTTTGCTCTAGTTTTTCAATGAATGTTTCATAGAGTCTCAACTAATTCAACACAGTTTGTGGCAGTCACAAAAATGAAGTTTCTGGAGTATAACAACTACTTTCAAAGTAAGCACCGTGCAATTAAAAAGGAAATAACACTTTCAAACCATTAACAGATTTTTTTTATAGAGAATGTTACTTAGTGTAATAGGTACATGGTTATAAAGTATCCTCAGTGTTCTCTAGCAGGTATGGAGGGTTTTTTTTCTATTGGATCTCAGCCACATCCTTCACAAGGTTGTAGTCCTTATTGAGGACTACAGGTGAGTTAGTTGGCCCTTTCCCTATTGGTCTCTCTGCCTGTCTTCTATTCAGCCCATCATAAGAATATTTAAAGTGAAAATTGAAAGTGCAATGACCCAGGACTGTTAACAGACAACGGCTATGTCTTTGTGTGATATGTGATTTTATGTGCTGGGTTTAACAATATTTAATGTTTTATCGGGGAAGGGTCCATTTCGATGTTTTATACTGTTTTTTATCAATGGTATTGAATTGTTGCTAACACTGTGAACCGCCCTGAATCCCCTTCGGGGTTGAGAAGGGCAGTACACAAATACCGCAAATAAATAAATAAATAATTTCCCCTCTCTCTTCCTATTAGAGTTAGAGTGATACTTGTCAAGGATATGCCTCCTTTTCTGTGCACATGCTAAACCCCTGAGTCCTCAATTTTGTTCTTTTCCTGTGAGCATGGAGAGAGGCAAGATGTCTGCTGTGAGTTGGTTAGATAGCCTGGCCCTGTGATAACTTTCCTGTATCTATATATGTAGTTCTTTGAATCAATAACTTTTAAAGCTTGACTTTGCTCTTCTAATTGCTGAAACCCAATGGCTCTACCGCTGGCACTAGAAACTTCTGAGCTGCTAAACTGCTGCTAATGTTGTTGCTGCTGCTTTATTATCTTTGAATGCAATTTTGGAAATAACACCTCCGCCCATCATTTTCCACCACTTTTGGGTCCCAAGAGAACAATTATTTTCAATATATATGTATATACAGGCAATCCCTGGGTTACAGACATTTGACTTATAAACGGCTCCTAGTTAAGAACGGGTAAGACAACAGGAAGTGAGAGAAATCTCCCCCTTGGAAGGGAAATTTACTCCTGGAAGAGTTATCATGGGGGAAAGGGATCTCCACTGAAGCTATATCTCTGATCCTTGTTTTCATAACAAGTCAAATTTTCCAAAATCCAATGGTTACAGGGTGGATTTTTTCTGAAAAGAGGCAAAGACAGCAAAACAAAAACACTAATGGGGCATTAGCCCTTTCCTATGCTATTCATAGATAGATAGATAGATAGATAGATAGATAGATAGATAGGTATGTGTGTGTATTGGCTGGAGTTACACTTAAGAAAACATGCCTGTTCTGCCTTACATACAAACTCAACTTAAGAACAACCTTCAAATACTGACTGGATTATAACTTGGGCACTGCCTGTATGTATATGGATGTGTGTATCCACCATATTTAAGTCTCCTGTGGATCAATGAGTCTCTAGAGACCTGTTTTGTGAAACCAGAAGTGGACAGCAGCTTCAAAGTGTGTCCCTAGTTGCTTGACAGCTCTTTCCTCTCCTTGTAGGACATCAACAGTGTGGCAGTTTCTCCCAACGACAAGCTCATTGCCACTGGATCCCAGGACAGAACGGCCAAGCTGTGGACCTGCCAAGACTGCACACTTTTGGGGGTCTTTTCTGGCCACAAGCGCGGTGTCTGGTGTGTCCAGTTCTCCCCAGTGGACCAGGTCTTGGCCACTTCTTCTGCCGACGGCACCATAAAACTTTGGGATCTCCAGGAGTTTGGCTGCTTGAAGGTAAAGCCCTTGGGTTCATCTCCATGTCCTCTGCTCCTATTACACTATGTAACACAATTTTTGGTCCTGGGTTATAAATGTCATTTCCTAATTGTTTCTATCATAAAACATGGAAAAAGGTTTATTAAACTGCACAAACTTTGTTTTTGCAGGACATCCTGCAGCACATTTTTCTCTAGTTTTTCAATGAATATCCCATAAGGTCTCAACCAAATCAAACTAGTTTGAGCCACAAAAGTGAAGTTTCTAGAGTCAAACAACTACTTTTAAAGTAAGGACTGCACAATTAAGCAGGAAATAACCCTTTCAACCCAGGTACAGAAATTATTGCAGCAAGACTACTCTCTAATTATAGAACTCTTGGGCAAGTGGGTTTATTAACAAAGACCCTCGTCATAAATGTACAGCAGAGTAGCTTATCAGCAGCAGCGGGACCCAGCACCAGTAGCCCAAAGTGATAAAAAGAACAAAAAACACACAAACCAATGTTACCTCTTCTATAGGAGGCTTTTCTTTGTAGTAAAAAAATAATATGGTTGCACTATTTGCAAGAACAAAGGATTCCATAACACAAATAAAGTCCTTAAGTTCCCTTCTTTGCTTCCACACAGGGCTTTTTTCTCATGCAGATTAACAGCTTTGCTCTCACAGAATCTCACACCAAACTTCCTGAGGAGCTTCACACATTAGCTTTACATACAGTTTTATACATGAGGCTCTCTCATACTGAGGGTTACCTCACACAGAAGGAGTTCCCAGTGGCGCAATGGGTTAAACCCTTGTGCCGGCAGGACTGAAGACCAACAGGTCAGAGGTTCAAATCTGGGGCGAGTGTGGATGAGCTCGCTCTGTCATGTGGGGACATGAGAGAAACCTCCTATAAGGATGGTAAAAAATCAAAACATCCTGGCATCCCCTGAGCAATGTCCTTGCAGATGGCCAATTCTCACACCAGAAGCGACTTGCAAGGCAGGATCATCAAGTTTGCAGACGACACCAAATTGGGAGGGATAGCCAATACGCCAGAGGACAGGAGCAGGATTCAAAACGATCTTGACAGATTAGAGAGATGGGCCAAAACTAACAAAATGAAGTTCAACAGTGACAAATGCAAGATACTCCACTTGGCAGGAAAAACGAAATGCAAAGATACAGAATGGGGGACAATGCCTGGCTCGAGAGCAGTACGTGTGAAAAAGATCTTGGAGTCCTAGTGGACAACAAGTTAAACATGAGCCAACAATGTGATGTGGCGGCAAAAAAAGCCAATGGGATTTTGGCCTGCATCAATAGGAGCCTAGTGTCTAGATCTAGGGAAGTCATGCTACCCCTCTATTCTGCTTTGGTTAGACCACACCTGGAATATTGTGTCCAATTCTGGGCACCACAATTCAAGAGAGATATTGACAAGCTGGAATGTGTCCAGAGGGAGGGCAACTAAAATGATCAAGGGTCTGGAGAACAAGCCCTATGAGGAGCGGCTTAAGGAGCTGGGCATATTTAGCCTGAAGAAGAGAAGGCTGAGAGGAGATATGATAGCCATGTATAAATATGTGAGGTGAAGCCACAGGGAGGAGGGAGCAAGCTTGTTTTCTGCTTCCCTGGAGACTAGGACGCGGAACAATGGCTTCAAACTACAAGAGAGGAGATTCCATCTGAACATTAGGAAGAACTTCCTGACTGTGAGAGCCGTTCAGCAGTGGAACTCCTTACCCCGGAGTGTGGTGGAGGCTCCTTCTTTGGAAGCTTTTAAACAGAGGCTGGATGGCCATCTGTCAGGGGTGATTTGAATGCAATATTCCTGCTTCTTGGCAGGGGGTTGGACTGGATGGCCCATGAGGTCTCTTCCAACTCTTTGATTCTATGATTCTATGATTCTCAAGTCACTCCTCACACAGAGGCTTCTCTCACAGACTAAGGCCTACATCACACTGTGATGCCTTCTCACAGACCTTTCTCCCACTGAGGCAAGCTAACACAGGCCTACTAAGCTACAGGCACACCTGCTTATATAGAACTGCAGCTTTTGTGAGTCATTGCATCCATCTAACCCCTTCAGTACTTGACTCACATTTTTGTAATTAAAAATATTTTAATATTTCTGACAAGAACTACTCCTAAAAGAAAAATTGGATCACAAAAATTCTACAAACTGGATCAGAAATGGACAAAGTTCTCTTGCTTCATTAAGGAGAAGTCACTCACTATTTTTTTCAGAGGGGTGGGAAACATTTATATCATTCCCAAAGGGGGAAAGGGGAAAAGTCCAAACATCATTGGGTTTTGAACATTGAATTAAAAATATTAAGAGAATAAGGTAGAATGGAGAAACTGCCTAATTGACGAGTTTATAATAATATTTTTCACTGTATGTTTTTGAGGTGGGAAGTCCATTTTTATCATTATCTTTGTTTTTGTTGTTCCTCCATGGGGCAGGTAAGGAAGATGACCCTTTGTGATGCTTTTTTCTTCTTCTCCTCCTCCTTCTTTCTTCCAGACATTTGAAGGCCATGACGCCTCTGTCTTGAAGATCATCTTCATCAGCCGAGGGGGACAGGTGCTGAGCAGGTATTAACTCTTCCTTGGAAACATGGCATTTCTTTGCTCAGACAGATCGTTCTTTTTCTGGCAAAAGATTCCAAAGCAGAAAAACTGTTTAGCTCTTTCTAAAAATGGGCAGAATGTTATATCTTTGCACTGGAAAGATAGATAAATACGGGTTGCTGTAGGTTTTTCGAGCTGTATGGCCATGTTCTAGAAGCATTCTCTCCTGATGTTTCATCTACATCTATGTTTTGCCTACATCCTGACAACCTCTGAGGATGCTTGCCATTGATGCAGGTGAAACGTCAGGAGAGAATGCTTCTAGAACAAGGCCATACAGCCCAAAAAACTTACAACAACCCATTGATTTCGGCCATGAAAGCCTTCGACAATACACAGATAGATATGATTGAGAGAAAGAGAGAGAGAGAGAGCTCATGGGTATATCACAGAATCCTAGAGTAATAATAATAATAATAATAATAATAATAATAATCTTTATTTGTACCCCGCTACCATCTCCCCAAGGAACTCGGTGCGGCTTACATGAGGCCAAGCCCCCAAAATACATCAAACAAAACATCAATAAACACAACATCAATAAAAAATCAATAAAATACAAATCATATAAATCACATAAACAAAAAACAATCAATAGTGACATAAACAATTTTAAAAATGGCCGGGCCAAATGTAATAGATTAAAATTGAAAATATGCTGACGTGAACAGGTAAAATATAACCAGGATAGGATTTTTCGGAGAGAAATGAGGGAGCACGGTCCATCCTAAGTCAGTATTAAAGTGCATTGTGAGGACATATTGCTGAGAGTTCTCCTTATTCTGGGAAGACACACTGGAATAACCGCGTTTTCAGGCTCCTCCTAAAGACTGCCAACGTTGGGGCATGTCTAATGTCCCTGGGAAGTGAGTTCCAGAGTTGGGAGGCCACCATTGGGAAAGGCCCTCTCCCTCGTCCCCACCAATCGCGCCTTCAAAGGAGGTGGGAGCTTGAGCAGGGCCTCTCCAGAGGATCGAAGAGATCGTGTGGGTTTGTACACAGAAATGCGGTCACACAGGCCATCCAGTCCAACCCCCTTCTACCAGACAAGAAGACACCATACAATCCCTCCCAACAGATGGTCATCCAGCCACAGATAGATGACCATAGCTTTGATAGTTTTGATAGAAATAGATACGTAGGTCAATGAGATTGAGAGAGAGTGATCTGATAGATATATAATAGACTGCAGTTGGGAGAGATTGGCTATTTAGCCACAGATAAATCCTAGAGTTGGAAGAGGCCATCCAGTCAAACCTCTCTATGCCACACAGGAACACCATCCAAACCCTCCTGACAGATGGCCATCCAGCCTGTGCTTAAAAGCCTCCAAGGAAGTAGACTTACCAGACTCTGGATCCTAGAAGGGGAGGAGAACCTCAAAGTCAATCTAGTGCAACCCCTTTCTGCTAGGCAAAACAACACCACCCAAGCCCTCCTGACAGATGCCCATACAACCTCTGCTTAAAGACCTCCAGAGACAAGAGTCTGCTCCAGACTCTGCTATTGCCTTAGCAGTTGTGAGATAATATATTATCTTGGGATATATACTTTGAGATATATTTTCTGTGGTTAGGGGAAAGAGCCGCATAAGTTGGCATCATTCGCCTACAGCAAGCCACTGCATTTGGACACATGAAGCCGATCAGTCCCCCGAGTCCAGCCATGCTGACCGTCTCTCTGTACTTTTCCTCCCCAGCGGCTCAGACGGCCTGCTGAAGCTGTGGACAGTTAAGAGCAACGAGTGCGTGAAGACACTGGAGGGCCACAAGGACAAGGTGTGGGGCCTCGACGCCAACAAGAAGGACAATACGGTGGCCAGCGGTTCCAGCGACTCAAAGGTCTTGCTCTGGAAGGTACAGCCTCCGCCCCTCAACAGCCCCCAGGCAGCCCTCATAGGCTGGATGTGCTGTTGCCTGCTCTTCTTCATCCTCCTCTTCCTCATCCTCCTCATCGTCCTCATCGTCAGACCTCGCTAGAACAGCCTCCCTCCCTCCCTGCCCTCCTTCTTTCCTTCCTTCCGATCAAGAAATTGTAATAAATAGGTGCCGTTTCTGAAAGGGCCAGTCGATGCTCCTTGTCCATTTCTTTAGGGAACTAGATCCATCCATTTATCCTCTATTATTATTATTTTCAAAGTAGTTTAAAATAGCAGAGTGCACCATAGCCAATGCTATATATTCATATTTATGTTTTAAGGAACCTTTTGGGTAAGTTAAAATATTGTAGGAATATTTGGTCTCCATTGCAGAATGCAGGCTAGCCAATAATGCTATATATTTATATGTATGTTTTAAGGCACCCTTTAAGGCACCGGGAGCCCCCGGTGACACAGTGGGTTAAACCCCTGTGCTGGCAGGACTGAAGACCGACAGGTCACAGGTTCAAATCCGGGGAGATGCGAATGAGCTCCCTCTATCAGCTTCAGCTCCTCATGCGGGGACATGAGAAAAGCCTCCCACAAGGATGATAAAACATCAAATCATCCGGGCGTCCCCTGGGCAACATCCTTGCAGACGGCCAATTCTCTCACACCAGAAGCAACTTGCAGTTTTGCAGGTCGCTCCTGACACGACAAAAAAAAAAAGCACCCTTTGTGTAAGTTAAAATATTGTAGGGATATTTGGCCTCTGTAGCAGCGTGCAGCATTCGATGGATGGATAGATAGATAGATAGATAGTTAGATATTCCATATATGTATTTGTGTATATATATATGTGTGTGTGTGTGTTTTTAAGACACCTTTTGTATGTATATATATTTGTGTATGTGTGTGTGCATGTTTTAAGACTTCTATTTGGGTAAGTTAAAATATTGTAGGAATATTTGCCAGAAGTTATAAAGAAATAAGGAGGGGAAGAAGAAAAAGAATCAACTGAGCTGGTTCTCCACCACTAACTTTATGGCATTGTTAACATGTTCTGTTTGAGATAAGTGCCTGATCAGATTTACAAAGCCCTTTAAAATAAGTTGGTTAATCCACAGTTTTCAGAAGTATTAATGTTTTGAGCATTGGACTACATCTCTGGAAGACTATACAAACCTATTGAAATTGCAGCAAACCAAAAGAAAGGTGTTTGTAACATGAGCTTTCGTAGATTCAGCCTGCTTCATTTAGATCAGTGGTTCTGAACCTGTGGGTCCCCAGAGGTTTTGGCCTTCGCCTCCCAGAAACCCTAACAGCTGTTAAATTGGCTGGGATTTCTAGGAGTTGTAGGCCAAAACACCTGGGGACCCACAGGTTGAGAACCACTGATTTAGATGGAACACTTCAAGAGGTTTAATTGGGTACTGGTGCTTCTTTTTGATACACATTTTCAGAATATATTTTGGGAATTGGGTTGTTGTTGTCATCCTGGGTTTAATTGTATTTTCACTTGTTTATGCTTTATGGGCTTTAATGTACATCTTGTATGACTTTTAGTGTTAGCTGGTTTGTCTCTTCTTTGGGGGAGAAGAAACAGGATATAAATACTTATTTATTATTATTATTATTATCTTATGAAATAATAATAATAACAACAACAACAATAATAATGCAGTTTGCTCTCCACAGTATAGTACTAGTAGTAATAAGTAGTATTAATAATCATATTTTCATATTTATATCCCATGAAATAAAAACAATAATATTGCAGTTTGTCCCCACGTACAGTATAATAATGATAATAATAATAATTAATGTATATCCCATGAAATAATAATGATCTCAGTAATAATAATAACAATTATTATGATTATGAGTATTATACTGTACTTTGGGGACAAATTGCAATATTATTATTATAATAATTAATGTATATCCCATGAAATAATAATGACCTCAATAATAATAATAATAATAATTATTATTATTATTATTATTATTATTATTGAGTGTATTATTATTTCATGCTTTTTGTGTCACTTCCCATGTCCCACAAGGGCTTCCCAAGGGGATGAAGAAAAGCCAATTAACACCATACAAAAGAAGGAATTTTTTAAAAAATATTTGAAATGCTCTTTAAAATTATACTAAAATCCATTGTTTAAAAAATAGTTTAAAAGCCATTTCAAGCAGAGTTTCTTCCCACGCTGTTTTGAGGCGATTCTGATTTTGGAGAGAAGTTGACATTTCCCCTTTCGTCTGTGGGAGTGAATAATGGCTCCGCACCTGAGTTAATTAATGCATGAAGAGATAAGTGCACCGTAAATAGGGAGCAGTGGTTGCATTAGGCAGAGACAGGAGGCTGCTATGGATACTTGTAATTAGTGTTCGGTGCCATACATTTTTTACTGTATGGGATAAACTGAAAATGAGGTCTAAGTTTGTCTGCTGTGTCAAACCCCCAAAACTTCAGTGTGATTCCAGGGGGTTCAGTTGTTCCATCTGCATTTTCCCCAAAGCATCATCCACCCCATTTGGCCTGTTTCTGTTTCTTTTTATTTTGTCTCTTTGTCTTTGAAAGGACATCACTCAAGCAGAGCTTGAAGAGGAGCAAACGAAGCGGGAGGAAGAGATCCTGAAGTGAGTTTTTTCCTTTGGCAGCGCATGAGATGCGTGCATCCCCTTTGTGCGAATGTGATTTCCCGTAATCAAGAGCTTTCCAAAAGATCTTGGAGTCCTCATGGACAACAAGTTAAACATGAGCCAACAATGTGATGTGGCGGCAAAAAAAAAGCCAATGGGATTTTGGCCTGCATCAATAGGAGCATAGTGTCTAGATCTAGGGAAGTAATGCTACCCCTCTATTCTGCTTTGGTTAGACCACATCTGGAATATTGTGTCCAATTCTGGGCACCACAATTCAAGAGAGATATTGACAAGCTGGAATGTGTCGAGAGGAGGGCGACTAAAATGACCAAGGGTCTGGAGAACAAGCCCTATGAGGAGCGGCTTAGGGAACTGGGCATGTTTAGCCTGAAGAAGAGAAGGCTGAGAGGAGATATGATAGCCATGTATAAATATGTGAGAGGAAGCCACAGGGAGGAGGGAGCAAGCTTGTTTTCTGCTTCCTTGGAGACTAGGACGCGGAACAATGGCTTCAAACTACAAGAGAGGAGATTCCATCTGAACATTAGGAAGAACTTCCTGACGGTGAGAGCCGTTCAGCAGTGGAACACTCTCCCGGAGTGTGGTGGAGGCTCCTTCTTTGGAAGCTTTTAAACAGAGGCTGGATGGCCATCTGTCAGGGGTGATTTGAATGCAATATTCCTGCTTCTTGGCAGGGGTTGGACTGGATGACCCATGAGGTCTCTTCCAACTCTTTGATTCTATGATTCTATGTGTCAGAGCTCATTGGTGTGTCACATGAAAATAGCCCCCCCCCCCAATCAAAGCCCTCCTGACAGATAGCCATCCAGCCTCAGTTCAAGAACCTCCATAGTAGGAGACTCCACTGGGAGAGGCCCCCAAAGGGCATCCAGTCCAATCCCTTTCAGCCAGGCAGGAAAACATAGTGAAAGCCCTCCTGACAGACAGCCATCAAGCCTCTGCATAAAAGGACTATATCATGGAATGCTGGAATTGGAAGAGACTCGAAGAGCCATCCAGTCCAACCTCCTTCTGTCTTCATACAGGAAAAACACAGACAAAACAGACACACACCCCTAACAGATGGTCATCCAGCCTCTGTTTAAAAGCCTCCAAAGAAGGAAACTCCAAGGCAGTTAGTTCTACTGCTGGACAGTGTTTCTCATGATGTGGGATGGGGGATGTCAGTGTCCGTAGATCTTTCTGAAGGCCATGTGACCTGACCCTTTTTCCTTCCTTGTTCTGCTAGGGAGCAAGAGCTGTCCAACCTGCTGCATGAGAAGAGGCACCCGCAGGCCCTAGCCCTTGCCCTCTCTATGGGGCGGCCCCATACAGTCCTCAGCGTCATCAAGGGTAAGGAGAGGTCATCTGAGGAGCCAGGCATGAGCCAACTTCCGTCCTCCAGGTGTTTTGGACTGCAACTCCCACAATTCCTTACAGCTGTAGAAGGACCCAAGTTTGCCCATGCCTGCGCATGGACCATACGATCGCTATTTTAGAACATTAAATATATGAGAATAAAAATAAGAATTTATATTATTATTATTATTGTTATTATCGTTATAGTTACTGTTGGCAAATACAGTGGCAAAACTCACCAGCCAATACCCCAGAGTCATAGAATCCCAGATTTGGAAGAGAGGGCCATCCAGTCTATACAAGAATAATAACAATGCAATGCCAGAGTTGGAGGAGATCCCAAGGGCAATAATAATAAATAATAACACTTTATTTATATTCTGCCCTGTCTCCCCGAGGGAACTCAGGGCAGATCCAATCCATGCAGGAATTTATTTATTTACTTCATTTCTACCCCGCCTTTCTCACTGTAAAAATAATAATAATAATAGAATCCTAGAGTTGGAAGACACCCCGAGGGCCATCCAGTCCATGCAGGAATGATGATGATTATGATGATAGAATCCCAGAGTTAGAAGAGACTCCAAAGGCCATCCAGTCCATGCAGGAATACTACTACTGATAATAATAATAATAATAATAATAATAATAATAATAACAATTATTATTATTATAATGGAATCACAGAGTTGAAAGAGACCCCAGGGGCCATCCAGTCTCCTTCTGCCAGGCAGGAAAAGCACAATCTAAGCCCTACTGACAGCCAGCCATCCCACCTTGGGAGGATTTCTTCTTCCTTACCGTGCTTTTGGCTTCCACCTTCCTCAAAAGTGGCTCCATAGAATCCTGTCCCTATTAGCATACTCTTAACTGGCTTGTTTTACTTTCCTGTCTCCATCAGCCATTCTCAAGGAGCCCAACGGGTGCCAGAGTCTGGTGGAAAACATCACCAAACTGCGGAAGGACCAGAAAGGTGGGTTGCTCTCATGCTAAGAAGGTTCCTTGAATGGTGTGTGAACCAAAGCGGACACAACTAGCCACTTTTAGGATGCTGCTTCCAATGTCAGTGTGATTGTGATTGATAGCCTGGATTCTCATGATGTGCCACATCTCCTCTTTCTGGTCTTCATGTTGGAGCTCAACCACATCCTGTAAAAGCTTACAGTCCTCAATGAAGACTTTGTTTGTTTGTGGTTTTTTAATACATTATAACTATATTCTCAATTCACTTCTGACACGATAAATAAAATAAATCAAGGACTGAGATGGGCAGATGAGTTAGGTTGCCAGGGGAAAGCTTTCAGCCCATTGGCCTCTTTATCTGTTTCTCTGTTCCCTCCTCCTATCACTTTGCTTGTTAGACTGCTACTTCTCTTTTTCTGAGCGCATACCAAGCCCCTGAGTCCTACTTTTGGCTCTTCTGTGAGCATGGAGAAAGGCAAGATGTCTGCTGCGGGTTAGTTAGTTAGATAGATAGGCCTTATGTTAACTTTCTTAGCTAATTATGTAGTTCTTTCAGTAAATTCTTTTGTAACTTTTAAAGCTTGACTCTACTGAATGACTGAAGTTCAGTGGCTCTGCTGCTGGCGCTGGAAGCTTCTGATCTGCTAAATTGCTGCGGTTGTTGTTGCTTTACCATTTTTTGAATGCTCTTTTTTGGAAATTACCCCTTCACCACCCACTACTCTCTCTGTTTCTTCTTCCAGAGGCTGTACTGAAGTTCTCTGCGGAGTGGAACACCAATTCCCGGAACTGCATTGCAGCTCAGACAGTGCTGGAGATCCTCCTCAAGAACGAGGCGCCTGAGTCGCTCCTGCAGTATGAAGGGGTCAAGGGAGCAGTGGAGTCCCTGCTGCCCTACACAGGCAAGTGGCTCTTTCATGGGCTCAATTGGGTTTCCCTTCTATTAACACACACACACATTGAATCAGAGAACGATATAGTTGGAAAAGATCCCCAATGGTCATCCAGTCCAACCCCTTTCTGCCCTGCGGGAAGGTACAATCAAAGCCCACCCTGCAGGAAGGCACAATCAAAGCCCTCCCAAAGGATGGCCATTCTGCCATAATCCCATTCCGCTATGCTTAAAAACCTCAAGAGAAGGATAGAATCCTAGAGTTGGAAGAGACCCCCCAAAGGCCATCCAGTCCAAACTCCTTTGACCAGGTAGGAAAAGCACCATCAAAGCCCCTCTGACAGATGGCTACCCAGCCTCTGCTTCAAAAACATGATGCTGTGTTCTCAGCCTCATTCAAGGCTTTCTTTCTCCACAGAGCGCCACTTCCAGAGGCTGAACCGGCTCCTGCAGGCATCCATGTTTGTTGACTTCTTGTGGCAAAACATGAAGCTTCCAGATGCGTCTGAAGAAGATCAGATGGAGGCCTGACCCCCCCCCCCAAAGGGATGCAAGTGGCAAATGCAGCCAAAGGACTGTTTTTGTATTCTTGCCAATGTTGGATATGATAATATTTGTACAATAAGGTTTTTATTTTATTTTTATATATATACATATAAAGGGGGAATGTCTTCATCCCCTGTTCTCTTTTTTCTGTGCATGTTCTCTCGTCCCTTTTTCCCCTCCTGATTGAATTAGAATTATTTAATTTGAGTTCACAAGATGAGTGAAGCCCCACTTTGAGCTAAAGTTGGAAGGGGCCTCTAAAGGCCATTACGTCCAATTGCCATTTGCCATGAAGGGAGACACAATCAAAGACCTCCTGACAGATGGCCGTCCAGCCCAGCCTCTTTAATAATAATAATAATCATCATCATCATCATCATCCTAGAGTGGGAAGGGACCCTCAAAGGCCATCCAGTCCAACCCCCTTCTGCCATAAAGGAAGACACAATACAAGCCTTCCTGACCAATGGCTATCCAGCCACATAGACATTAGCAGATTTTATGGAGAAACAGGACTAGAGTCAAAGACTTCTAGAGTCAGAAGGGACCCCTAAAGACCATCTAGTCCAACCTCCTTGATCCTAAAAAGGCATGCATCGGCGTCGGTTAAATAATAAGTCCCAACACCCATTAAGGATCATTCTCTTCCCTCTATGACACTATTAATTCAGTTACTGACATCCCTCTTCCTTGGCCAGTTTAGAAAATCTGGGAATCAGTTTTTCTCATAGATATATATGTGTGTGTATTAATCTCAGCATTACAACATAGCTAAAAACACATAAATGTTATATAAAATATACATATTAAAACATATCTCTACAAAATACATATTTGAAAATATGCAGAAGTTCTCCATCCCAGATGCCTGGTTTGCTTTCTCTTTTGCTCTGGAAGGCCATTCAGTTCCAAGCAGAAGGCAGAGGCAATTGCAAGGCTCTCTTGGTGACAGCTGAACACCTCTGGAGCATTTCGTGGATGGAGGGGCGAGGAGGCATTAAAGGGGAGCCACGCGGAGGATCCACAGAGTCCGGAGTTTCCTTGCCAAGACTCGAGCGACTGCTTTCCATCCCAGAGAAATTCTGGGGTTTTCCTATGGCTTCTCCCTGTTGGCTTTCCCCCATTGCCAGGAATTTGCGGTGTGGGTTTCTGTACGGTTGGAGGAAGGCCGACGGGACGTATCCACGCTCTCCGTTGTACCTGGAAGGCCAAAGGAGCCCCAATATCAAAACTCATCCCCCTTATTGATCAGTACAAGGGTCACAATGCAGCAGCTCAAAGGGTCAGTAATAATAATGATGGTAATAATGGTGCAATCTCAGAGTTGGAACCATCCAGTCCATACAGGAATGATGATGATGATGATGATGAAAGAGGTGTATGTAGATTGAGGGAGGTAATATGGGTTATCACTCTTTATATGTGTGTGTGTGTGTGTGTGCTTAGTGTGTGTGTGTGGGTGTGCACGCGCACACACTGTTGGCTTATATCCATAACCTGGATATAAGCCAACAGTGTGATTCAGCGAAAAATGCCAGTGTGACTCTAGGCTTCATCAAGAGGAATATGTAGATTGAGGGAAGTAATATTGGCTATGGCTTAACTACACACGCGCGCGCATGCACACACACATATACAAAGAGAGAAAGAAGGAAGGCAAGCACAAACTGAACATGAGCCAACAGTGTGATGCAGCAGCCTTTATGGCAGAAAGGGGTTGGATTGGGTGACCTTTGCAGTTCTATTCAAAACTCATGACTTTCTAGGGTCATTAGTCTTGCAATTCCCCAATAGTGTGATGACCTGCTCAGAGTATCCCACAATGCTCTGGCATTCCATGCCCAGCGAGAGAGGGACTGCACTTGAGGTCATCTAGTCTACTTCCTTTGCAAGGGGTTGCCAAAATTGGTGGTCCAATGGAGTCTGTCCAGACAGATCAGTGAGCAGCCAGATTGCCTTACCAAACCAGCCACCAGCCCCTGTCCGGCTTCTTCAGTGCTTCCACCAAGACCCCCGACTTCACAGACAGCTCATCCTCCTCCTGGGCCTCATAGGATTCTGTGAGATAATACAGTAACCCTGGAATAATAATAATAATAATAATAATAATAGAATCCCAGAGTTGGAGGAGACCCCTGGGGCCATCTAGTCCATGCAGGAGTAATAATTATAATGGAATCCCAGAATTGAAAGAGGCCATCCAGCCCATGCAGGAATCATAATAGTAATAGAATCCCAGAGTTGGAGAAGACCCCAAGAGCTACCCAGTCCATGCAGGAATAATAATAATAATAATAATAATAATAATAATAATAATAATAATAGGTCTCCAAAATACAAATAGGGCTTGCCTTCTTCGCTGTCCTCCTCCATCATGGTTCCATCTTCAGTCTCCTCCAGGAAGGAGGCTGGGAACCAGGCCAGTTGCTTGCAGTTGTTTTCTACCAGCCACCAGCCTAAAATAAAAAGCACCAGAAATATTATAATAATAGCATTAATAATAATAATCTCATTCTGCAAAGAGGAATCCCTGCACCTGTCGTCCAGATTCCGTACCTGTTCTGTCCTTCAGCAGAACTTCCAGGCCTTCTTCTCGCAGGGCTCTGAAGGGTCTGTCCTTAAGATCTATAGTTTCAAAGGGGGCGACACAAGCAAAGGTGGGGCAGACGATGGGTTCAGTGATGCTGAGAGCAAGCGGCCCTCTTTGTCCACCTCCCGTTTCGGAAGGAAAAGTGATGCTGCTGCAAAAGGATGGAGAGATATCTGCAAGGGACTCCAGTATCACCTGCGAAAGCTTTGCAGGACACAATATAATAATGCTGTGCTGTTGTTGTTAAGAATAAAGACACAACATTAGCCGTAAATACAGGACCTAAAAACCCTAAAAATATCCAATTCCCATCTGATCTCAGGTGCTAAGCAGGGCCAGGCCTGGTCGGGCCTTGGATGGGAGGCTGCCAAATGAATACCAAGCAATGTTTTGGGAAAAGGAGTTGGCAAAGGCTCCCCCACTCTTATTCAATGCCCTCCCAACAGATGGCCATCCAGCCAAAAACCTCCAGAGAAGAAGTCTCAACTGGAAGGGTCCCCCAAAGGGGATCTAGTCCAACCCCATTTTGGGAAAAGGAAAAGGCTGGCCCTCCTATTTGAATGTTTAACCCACACACCTGTTTTGGGGGAAGTCGGGGTCTAGGTCTTGGCTCCGGGCTTCAAAGAATCGGACCACATCTTCCCCTTGAGAGATCTGAGGCTTGGTTTTCAGAATCTCCTGGCAATAAACCTCCATCTGTTTCAGGTTCTTTAGGCATTGGCTCCCTTTCTGCTTCTTCCATACGATCCCATGGATGCCTTTGAGAGAGAGAAGAAGATGAGGAAAAGAGCCTTCTAGGAAGAGCCATCCTCTTCCTAATATGCATCCCTTACAAAGTAGACACACACACACACACACAAATATATATATATATATATACACACATATACACATCCACACATCTATATATATAAATCTGTAAGGGGCGTCCAACGGGACAGCAAAACCCAAAAAACCCCCAACGAAGATTAACCAAAATTCCCATGCACATACCTCAACCCACAAGGTACAAACAAATCGAATCAAAATAAAAAACAACACAACAACACACTCACAAAAGGACAAAACAACTGAGCATGCGCAATGGCGCAAAGTCCCCCGCGCGCGCACATGGCCAAACGGCCAACGCACCCTCCGCACCTCCCTCCCCCCTCCGCCAAAGCCCCACCCACACCCACCGACGCCCCCCCCCACTCCTCCTCCCACCCCCCTCCGCCAAAGCCCCGCCCACACCCACCTACGCCCCACCCCTGCACTCTCCTCCTTCCCCTCTGCCCAAGCCCCGCCCACACCCCGACGCCCCGCCCACACCCACCGAACCCCGCCCCTACACTCCTCCTCCTCCCACCCCCCTCCACCGAAGCCCCGCCCACACCCACCTACGCCCTCCAACACTCCCTCCAAGGGGGAGGAAATGAAGGAAAGAGAGAAGGATGAAACCAAGGAGCGAAAGAAGGAAAGAAAGAAAGAAAGAAAGAAGAAAGAAAGAAAGAGGTAGAGAAGGAAGAAAGGAGAGAAAGGGGGAGAAAAAGGGGGAAGGAATAGGTAGGTACCTCTCTTTCATAATACTCCAGATATCTACCTCTACTTTGAAAAGATTTACTATAGGCCACAGCAACGCATGGCAGGGTACAGCTAGTATACATATATATACACAAATGCACATCCACATATACATATATATATACACACACACAAATATACACATACACACGTACACATATATACATATACACATAAAAATACACATATAAAAAAAATATACACATTACATATACACATACACATATGTCCATATACATATATCCACTTCACTTAGGCGATCCCTCGTTGGACGAGTAGGGTAGTCTTCCATGATCAGTATTCTTGTGGATCTGTAGGTGTATATATACATATACATATGTATATATATACATATATATATGTATATATACATATATTCATATACACACATATACATATACACATACACACACACATATTTATTTATTTACGATATTTATATGCCGCCCTTCTCACCCCATAGGGGACTCAGAGCGACTTACAAGATATATATACATACATTATATTATATTATTAGCATAGAACAATAGCAGTATTATATATTACTATATTGTACTATACCATTATATTGTAATATTATTAGTAATATTACATGTAATATAAAATATATAATTATAATATATTATTATATTGTATTACATTATAATATTATAAATATGATATGTATATACAATATGTTATATTATATTATATTATTAGCATAGCACAGGAGGCAAGGTGGAACTGTCCCCTGGCCCCCTCTTTCTTCACTCTGGCTCAGAGCAGCAGTTGGTGCTGTGGGGAGGGGGCCCCAACTGATGACATATATACATACACACATCTATACATACACATATACATATACACATATGCATATATACATATACATGTATACAACACACACACACACATATATATGGAAACTCTAACTAAAAATCCTAACAATGTGTATATTAAAAACTAAAGCATGCAAATATTAAAATGGAGTTAAATACAGGACCATTAAAATATATATAAATAAAAGCCGTTAAATGACATAAAAACCCTGCAAAAGCCCTTTTACCTGGAAACTTGGGGATGGTCCGGTCCGAATTCCTCAATAACCCTCTTTCGATGGGGAATTTTCTTTTCAGGGTTTCCTAAAGCAAAAGAGGAATTAGTCATATCACTCTTCTCAATGGGGAAAGGAAAAGTATTATCTTGATTTTGGATCCATTTGGGACGAAAGGAAACTTACATGGAGTTTCCGAAATTCTTCAAATGCTCTGTAGATTAGGATGACATTCTGGTCCGACCAAGACACTGAAAACATACAGATCTTGGTGGGTGGGGGAGAGAATGGAATAGAATTATTATTATTATTATTATTATTATTATTATTATTATTATTTATTTTATTTATACTGACCTATTATTATTATTATTATTATTATTATTATTATTATTATAATTATTGAACCCAAAGCTGCTCCCAAGCTATTTATTATAATTATTAATTATTATTATTATTTTATTTATACTGAGAATCATTATCATTTTAATCATCACCATCATCATTATCATTGTTTTATTTATACTGAGACCCAAAGCAACTCAATAATTGCCTTCCTATAACGGTTATAATACGAAGGATGGAAATGGGAAATACCTTTTCTTTGCCATGTTTCAGCAAAGCCATGGCTTTCACCTCCAAAGGGAACCTCTGCAGGTTCATCCTCTCTCCTTTATGGTCCAGAAGGCTTTGAGGTGGCTGCTTCATCCAAGTAAAGTATTCAAGAGCAAAGAGGAGGAGCAGACGGTGAGCTTGGCCTTTTTCCTACCTGCCTTTTGCACCTTTTCTTTGTTCTTGAATACTTTACCGGGATGAAGTGGCCACATCAAAGCCTTCTGGGCCATAAAGGATATAGGATGAACCTGGTTCCCCCTTTGCTTTCACCCAAATGAGTTTGAGATTGCAAGGCCAATCATTCTTGGATGGATGGGAGCTGCAGTTCAAATAGAATACCAATATAATATAATATATCTATATATATAAATCTATTAGGCGAGTCCAACGGGACAGCAAAACTCTAAAAAAACCCCAACGAAACTTAACCAAAATTCCCATGCCCATAACACAACCCACAAGGTACAAACATATCTACTCAAAATGAAAAACAACACAACAACACACTCACAAAACGGCAAAACAACAAAACTCAAAAAAACCCCAACGAAACTTAACCAAAATTCCCATGCCCATAACACAACCCACAAGGTACAAACATATCTACTCAAAATGAAAAACAACACAACAACACACTCACAAAACGGCAAAACAACTGAGCATGCGCATTGGCGCCAGCCGCAAGTTCCCTGGCGCGCACACACAGCCTTCCGGCCAACGTTCCCTCTGCGGAAGCCATGCCCACTCCAAGCCCCGCGCCGCTTCCCGCACACACACACCCTGCCGCACGCACACACACAACCCCACGCTCCATCACTCTCCCCGCCCCGCACACACACACGCAACCCCACGCTCCATCACTCCCCCCACCGCCGCACACACACACGCAACCCCACGCTCCATCACTCCCCCCGCCGCCGCACACACACACACAACCCCACGCTCCATCACTCCCCCCGCCGCCACACACACGCAACCCCACTCCCCCCGCCGCCGCACACACACACGCAACCCCACGCTCCATCACTCCCCCCGCCGCACACACACACGCAACCCCACGCTCCATCACTCCCCCCGCCGCCGCACACACACGCAACCCACTCCCCCGCCGCACACACACACGCAACCCCCTCCCCCCCCCCCGCCCCACACACACACGCAACCCCACGCTCCATCACTCCCCCCGCCGCCGCACACACACACGCAACCCCACGCTCCATCACTCCCCCGCCGCCGCACACACACACGCAACCCCACTCCCCCCGCCGCCGCACACACACGCAACCCCACGCTCCACCCCCCCCGCCGCCGCACGCACACACGCAACCCCACCCCCCCCGCCGCCGCACACACACACGCAACCCCACGCTCCATCACTCCCCCCGCCGCCGCACACACACACGCAACCCCACGCTCCATCACTCCCCCCGCCGCCGCACACACACACGCAACCCCACGCTCCATCACTCCCCGCCCCAATCTTAACTCCTTTTACTTCACGCCACCTCACACACACACGCAACCCCACGCTCCATCACTCCCCCGCCGCCGCACACACACACGCAACCCCACTCCCCCCGCCGCCGCACACACACGCAACCCCACGCTCCATCACTCCTCCCCCCGCCCGCACACACACACGCAACCCCACGCTACATCACTCCCCCCGCCGCACGCACACACACACGCAACCCCACGCTCCATCACTCCCCCGCCCGCACACACACACGCAACCCCGCTCCATCACTCCCGCCGCCGCGCACACACACACGCAACCCCACGCTCCATCACTCCCCCCCGCCGCACACACACACGCAACCCCACGCTCCATCACTCCCCTGCCCCAATCTTACCTCCTTTTACTTCCCGCCACCTCCAAACCCCACCCCGCCCCTTCCCGCCCTGTCAAAATCCAGGAAAGACAGGAAGGAAGGAAAGAAGGAAGAAAGAGAAAGGGAGGGAAGGAAAGTTAGAGAAAGAAGGAAGAAGAAAAGGAAAGAAAAGGAAAGAAAAGGAAAGATGGAAGGAAAGAAAAGAGAGACAGCAGAAGAGAAAGAAAAAGGGGAAGGAAGGAAAGAGGTAGAGAAGGAAGAAATGAGAGACAGAGGGAGGGAAAGAAAAAGGGGGAAGGAAGGAAGGAGAGAAGGAAAGAAAAAAGGGAATAAAGGAAGGAAAGAGGGAGTGAAGGAAGGGGGAAGATGTAGAGAAAGAGGGAGGGAAGGAAAGAGAGAAGAAAGAAAAGAGACCAGAAGAGAAGGGAAAGAAGGAAGGAGAGGAGGGAAGAAAAAAGGGAATGAAGGAAGGAAAGAGGGAGTGAAGGAAGGGGGAAGATGTAGAGAAAGAGGGAGGGAAGGAAAGAAGGAAAGAGAGAAGGAAGAAAAGAGACCAGAAGAGAAAGAAAAAGGGGGAAGGAAGGAAAGAGATAGAGAAGGAAGAGGAGAAGGAAAGATGGGAGGGAAGGAAGGAAAGAAGGAGAGAAAGAGGGAAGGTTGGCCACAGCAACACGTGGCAGGTAAAGGTTGTTATTTCTATTATTATTATGCTATTATTCCTATTAGACCCTTTTAGGGGGAATGGGAGAGGTGTCAGGTCCCAGAGGCAATGCATTGCATTATTGTTATTGTTATGATGGTGGTGAAATAAAAGGAAATAAAAAGTAAAAGAAGGAAGCAAACAGGGAGGGAAGAAAGGCAAAGGAAGAAAGGGGGAGGGAATGAAGGAAAGAGAGAAGGATGAAACCAAGTAGTGAAAGAAGGAAAGAAAGAAAGAAAGAAAGAGGTAGAGAAGGAAGAAAGGAGAGAAAGGGGGAGGAAAAGGGGGAAGGAATAGGTAGGTACCTCTCTTTCATAATAGTCCAGATATCTACCTCAACTTTGATAAGTTTTACTATAGGCCACAGCAATGCGTGGCAGGGCACAGCTAGTAACATAATATAAAATATATAATATACATACTCTATTTTATATGTACAATCTTATGTATGTATAAAATATTGAATGTATATATTATATGTGTGTGTATACACACACACATATATAAATATATATAAGGCCCCCGTATTCATGAAGGGATATATTTCCAAATAGATTGTGGTTATATATATATATATATATATATATATATATATATATATACACACACACACGCACGCACGCACACACACACACACACACACACACACACACGAGAGAGAGAGAGAGGGAGAGAGAGATTATATATCTATACACATAATAAAAGTGAAAATGTGTATTTTCTCTCCTAATGGAGACTTTCTTTGGACTTGAAAGTAGTCTTAAGAAAGTTTCCTTTAGGAGATAAAACGTGGGATTTAAATGCTTATTATTATTATTATTATTATTATTGCTTTCAATTGCAAAATAGAGAGCAATTTTCCCAGACTCAGGTAGAAAGATAGGTGCATTTTCTGGTGACATTTGGACTGAAAATAAGACAAAAGGCCCATTGCTCTTTGCTGAGAGAGACTCCAGATGGATGAGACCTGTCTTTATTTCAGAAGAAGAGCCCAAAGACACAATGGTTCTCTTTCATTTGGATTTGCCCTTTCATTCATCAGCCCTTTCATTACTGTGGCCTGGAAAGCATCAAAAGCACATATTTGCAGCTTCAGACAATGTGCAAAAATGACAAACATTTGCAGGACAAGTGCAGCTGGACACTACTTTAATTTCTATTGAAATTGCTAGGAGTTGTAGATTTTGCAGGATTGGGATTTGAAGTTTGCCTTGGGGTGCAGCAGTTAAAGCGGTATCAAGCTGCATCCATTCTGCAGTGTAGATGCACCCCCAAAGTTGGAAATCATGATAATGGAAGAGGAGAAATTTGTATCACGGAAAGAAGGATATAGAATGGCTTCCAACCAGAAATTATAATATCTATAATTATTAGACCAATGCGCAGTCTATGAGTGTGTCTACACTGGAGACTTGATGCAGTTTGACACCACTTTGAACTGCTTCAAAATCCAGGGTGGTGTCATTTTGCAAGGACTTTTACCCAAAAGAAAACTGTTGCAAACTATAAATCCCAGGACTCCATGCCAACTAAAATCGTACCAAACTGGATTAAGTCAACAGTGTAGATGCACCCAAAGAACAATTGCAGGAAGTCAACCTAAACATTTTGGATACTATTCTATAAAATGAGGACTAGAGGGTCCTGATTCACTCTTTGTGCCAAAAATAGGATTTTAAGAGCCATGAAAACATGCATGCTGATGATGACGATGTTTCCTAATGCCTGCATTTTGTTTCAGCCATTGAGATGATTCAGTGGGCTCCAGTCTTCCATTTCTATTTCTAGTCGAATGAAAAGCTGCTGCCATAACTCACATCCAATTACACTATGTAACAAAATTTGGAAAAAAAATATTATGTTTCTGGTTTGAAAGTGTTATTTCTTGTTTAATCGTGTGGTACTTACTTTGAAAGTAGTTATTCTACTCCAGAAACTCCTTTTTTGTGGCTGCCACAAACAAGGTTGAATCAGTTGAGATTCGATTATGATTTCATTGAAAAACTAGAGCTAAATGCGCTGGAGGATGTCTGTCCCACAAAAACAAAGTGCTGCCAGTTTAATAAATTTTCCCCATGTTTTTATGATAGAACCAATTAGGAAATGACACTTGTAACCCAGGAACAAAAATGGTGTCACACAGTGTAATCA